CAGCTGCAACCATTCTTGGAAATACCAATACCACAGATCAATAACTAATAACTAATAACCCAGCTTCCTCAGAGCTCTGGCCCCTCCCTGGCAGGCTGGGCGAGGGGAACACAGATGCTTCCAACGTCCTGTGGAGTCTGAGCCACTTCTACTCGAGGGCCTGTCAGAGGCAGGAAGTAAGGGAGCCAGGACGCAGGGGGGAACTCCAGCCGGGCCCAGGGGAGGGGCAGCCTCTGGGCCTCAGGCTCTGCCTCTGCAAAATGAAGGGCATGCCTTCCTGGGGCTCCAAGAATGACAAGTGTCTGATGTGGTTGTTCAGGGAGAAGCCACACCTCTGCACACATCTCTAGCCTCAGCCCCCAGGCTAACTCCAGACACCGATGTGGGCCTGAGCGGTGAGGTCCCAGCAATCCCATGGTGTCCTGGAGGCCCCTGGTGCCTCACGGGCCCCTCCCAGCTTAGGTTGGAACAGGCAGACGGCTGAGGTCTCGAGGAGCTGTGGCCCCCTAGAAGACATGTGCACACAGAGGCCCAAGGGCCAGAACGGTGCCACATGCGTGACATGACCGTGTTCCCGCTGAGGGGTGGGTGCAAGGGCTGCAAGGCCACCCACTGAGACATCGTAAAATGACCGCATTTTTCTTCTTCTTTTTGTCTTACCTGCAAGGAACATGCATTAGTATTTGTATAATAAAAAAGGGAGAAAAGGTAAGCCTTTTTTCCTTTTAAAATACCTGTTGACAGCCCAGCCAGTGTGGCTCAGTGGTTGAGCGTCGACCCATGCACCAAGAGGTCGCCAGTTCGATTCCCGGTCAGGGCACACGCCCAGGTTGTGGGCTCATCCCCAGTGGGGGGCATGCAGGAGGCGGCCAGTCAATGTGTCTCCCTCATCAATGTTTCTATCTCTCGCTCCATCTCCCTTCCTCTCTAAAAATCGATAAAACATCCCTGGCTGGTTTGGCTCAGCGGTTAGAGCGTCGGCCTGCGGTCCTGAGAGACCTGGGTTCGGTTCCCACTAAGGGCACGTACCTCGGTTGCAGTTTGTCCCTGGCCCTGGTTGGTCGTGCGGGTGGCAGCCACTCGATGTGTCCCTTCACGTCGATGTTTCTCTCTCTTTCTCCCTTCCTCTCTCTCCCTCCCACTCTATCTGTACAAAAAATGGAAAAATATCCTCGGGTGAGGATAAAAAATAAAAATTGATAAAACATATTTAAAAATAATAATATCCCTGTTGGCAAAATGCCCACCCATGTCATCAGGCCTGTGGCACTTCCAAGTTTTATCTAAATAATTAATTTTCCGCCAGCCCCAGCCCCGGGGTAGCGCCCAACTCTGACCTGTAAGAGCCTCCTCTGCCCTGCAGTTCCTGGGGGCCCAGAGCCAGCTTCTGGCCGGCACCAGGCAAGGCTCTTGGCCTAGATGGGAGGCTGCAGAACCCACGTCAGCTGCGCACCCTGCCACCCACCACCTCCAAGGGCCCGAGCCAGGGAGGACACAGGCCTTTGAAAGGTGTCCCCAATGGTGCAGGCAGGGCAGTGGTAAAGGGGTGCTGAGCCAGAGCCCTGCACTCGAGCGCTTTCCCCGAGAGCCCTGAAACGTGAGGCCAGGCGTCCTGAGCAGACACCAAGGACGGGGCTTCGTGATGAGAGAAATTAGCCGGAGGAGACCTCAGGGTAACTCCAGGCTCCCTCCTAGGAGGAAGACCCCATTTGGACCATCTGGAAAATCCTCATGTCCTCAGCATCTCTGGGCACCTGCTCTGGACCAGGCCCTACACTGATCGCTGGGACACAGACCAACTCCCTGCCGTCAAGTTTTCTTCTTGGCGGGGACAGCACAGGCACCAATACAGAGGGGACCCGGGCCATGGGCACAGGAAGCCCTGCACTGCCAAGGGGGGTTCAGGAGGCTCCCGAGGAGGGGGGAGTTGGAGGAGGGTGGCGGCTTGGTCTGAGAGGGCAGGGAAGACCTCAGGTCCCCCTCCCCCACCCAGCTCAGAAATGACTCGAAGTGGTCAACCCACATTCACCACACTGCTGGCCGCACAGGATCAAGCAGTGCCACCCTCTTGGTCTGCGGACCGGTTCCGAGCTGAGCCCTGACGAGGCAGGCTGCTGCACCGAAGTGGGGGAGGCTGGCGGGGCCCCGTCTCCCGCCTCTGGGGCCGCGGCCGGCCTCACTGAGCCAGGCACTTTCTCCTCCAGGACCTGGGAGACTAAGTCCCAGTTTACCCCTGTTGGCCCAGAATGATTGTTGATAATGTTGCTTTTTACTCAACACATCCTGTTTTGGAAGAAAAAAATTATAGCCACGCTACCCATCTCCCCATCAAAGCTCCATGGCAACCTTCCAAGGTCTCCAGGCAACCCCAGCCTGCTCGTCAGCCTGAAGACGCTGTCACACCTGTCTTCGCCCTTCCCCACCCGTGCCGTCTCCGGTGATCACTGCCCGCGGCGAGGCCTCCCCTGATCCTCCGCCTGCCCTGGTTCCATCTACAACCCTCCACCCCTTTCCTGGACGCCAGCCCCATCCCACCCTGGGCACCATCTACGCCACTCCGCAGCCGCAGGGTCTGCTCCCGCCTGCCTCCCTGGGCCAGGGATGCCTTGCAGGCGCAGGCTGCGTTCATCCCCAAGTCCTTCGCTTGGAGCCCAGCACCTGGCTTACAGAGGCATCTGGTAGATACTGTTTGTTAAATTAACGAACCACCACCAACCATGGTTTGTGCCAAGGCCCAAGGAGTCCACCGGAACCATCAGCTCCTCCCCTCTCCCTGGTCCCGACGCCCGCAGAGATGTCGCGCTCTAGGGCGAGAACGGCGCTCAGAAGTGGGGCAGGGCCTGGCTGGGTCCCGCCACTAACCAGCCAGGGGCTGTGGGCCTCAAAGTCCTCAAGATCCACAAAACCAGGGGCTGATTTTGTCAATTGTCTCAACAGAGCTTGCAGCTCCGACATTTCACTCTGAAGTCTCTAACTTATAGCCACCTTCGGATTAGAAAGCAGGCCCCGGCAATGTCTGTAAGCCTCAGAAACACTCAAGTCCACCACTGCATGTTACGAATGGAACCCATGCCTGGCCGGTGTGGCTCAGTGAACTCCGTCCCACGCACTGAGAAGTCCCGGTTCGATTCCCGGTCAGGGCACATGCCCCGGCTGTGGGCTCCATCCCCAGCAGGGGGCCTGCAGGAGGCAGCGATGTATGTATCTCTCTCACATTGATGTCTCTATCTCTTCCTCCCTCCATCTGAAGATGAATGTGAAAACGTCCGCGGGCGAGGATCAAAGCAGCGCCCTTTCTGAGTCTCAGGCGCAGCAGCACTCCCGGCTTCCCCAGCAGCAGGGGCCTAGTGTCCACAGCCCAGGAATAACTGCTTGTCAACTCCTTCACAGAGAAGGGCGGCGGACTTTCGATTCCCTCCTCAGGGAGCACTGAAGCGGGGCTTGCCGAGGCCGACAGGCTGTGACTGACACAAAGGGGCTGCAACTCTCTCTCTCTAGCCCAGCCCAGGGCCAACCCCAACCCCACCCCACCATCCCCAAAGTGATCCTTACAAAGGTCTCAGAAGTAGAAGCCATCAGTTCCCAACTGCCCCCAGTTACACAGACCAGCCAAGGACCCCCGGCCCTTCAGGGAACCCCTCACTAACCTGAGGTGAGTGCCCGTCCTCCTGCCAGGTGTGGTAGTCCACATCAGAATCTGCTCGGTCCTGGTGTCGTTATGACACCTGACACGGAAGGAGCTGCTGACCTGTGAGCCCCAAAGCTGAGAACAGTGCTGTTTCCACTCACAGAAGGCTGAGCAAGGCCCAGCCCCAGACACACCAGTGGGCTCGGAGTCCCGGCCAGTCCACCCTCACAGGCGCGGCCTCTCGCCCTCCCAAGCCCCCTCTCTCACCACCACTTTCAGACCACCCATCAAGGGACAGCCACCTCCCGCGTCCACTGAGGGCCAGTGCCTGGCTGGCGTCTGGGGAGGGATCCATTCTCCGGGTGTGGAGGAGGGGGAGCCCGCACTTGGAAGAGCAGGGGCACTGGCACCCCCTGGACTCCACGCCCACCTCCACGCCCACACAAGCCCCTGCTCTGAACATGAGACCGGGAGCTCTGCCTCACAGGGCTTAGGGGAGATGTTCCCTGGAAGAGGGCGGGTGCGGCCAGACTGCACACGCTGGTCTCCTCCTTCCTCTGCTCTCCCAGGCCGCACCCCTCCGGCCCCACCGCCACCAGGACGGGCCCTCACCTGGGTGCCAGCCCTGAGGCTCTGACTGCCAAGAAACTCCCTAGCCAGCGTTTATATAACAACAACATAAGCATTTTATTTTTTCATTAAGCTTCTTAGTATCACAATGGAATGATGAGAAAACAAGAACAAAAAACCCCATGAGTCTGCCGATCTCTAACAGAGCAGAGACTTCAAGGCAATGGGGGTGCAGTGGGGGAGTTGACAGAAGTGCCAAGAATTCCGAAACCATGTCTCTCCGTAGCCGACCGGGCTGGAGGGGGTGGGGAGGTGGAATGGTGAGAAGGTGGCACTGTCACAAGCGGTCCTTGGCGTTGTCTTGCGGCTGATACACGCTCATTCTGCACGGAGCACCCCGGAAGACTTCCTGATGCCCCCTGGCACCGAGCCACATGGCCCTCCGCCTGCCCGGACGCCCAGGCTCTCCAGCCGGCGCTGACACCTGAAGCCAGTTCTGCTGGGCGGGCAGCAGGAGAGGAGCGTGGAGGAGGGCAGAGGGCAGGTGGCGCTGCAGGGTGTGAGAATCCAAGGAGTAAGGAGACTCGTCTGGAGGCAGCTGTGGGGAGGGCGAGGTGGTGGCGGCGGTCCTGCCCCTCGGGAAGCGGCCTCGCCTACAGCTTCACGGTGCCAGGAGGCAGGCTGTCATTGCAGAGTCTGTAGTAGCGCAGGTCATTGACCAGCCTGTGCACATTCTGGGTGAACGAGGGCAGGTCCTGGAAGGCAGGGGCACAGCTCAACCTGGCTGCACGGAGCACCCCCAAGTCACCCGCCCGCCCCACCAGCACTTCCACCCCAGGGTGTGCTCCAGAGCTCTGCAAACATAGTACACGACGCACCACGTCCACTCCTTCCCGCGCCACGTGTGAGCAAAGGTACCGTGGGGGAAAGAACGGCGGGGAGGGCTCCCTCGCACACACCCTGGGCCAGACTCCAGCCAGGTAGGCAGACACTCCTGCCGTCACCCTCACCACAAGCCTGGGGCGCAGGTTCTGTTAGCAGCACCGTTTTAAGGATGAAGGTGGTGAAGCACAGAGAGCTCAAGAAACCTGCCGCAGTGACAAGGCAGGTGGGGAAGGGGACACTGGTCTGGCTGCCATGCATCTCTCCTTCACCATGGCCAGGCCAGGGACACTCAGGAGCGACACACTGGCAGGAGCCAGCATGTGCCTGCCCCCTCACCTGCTGACCACCTCCTGCTGGCCCCAACACCAGCACGAGCACCACGAGACGGCCGAGGCCCGCACCCTCACCTGGAGATCGTGATCAGCGATGCCAGACTAACAGCAACAGGCGGAGCAACGGTGGTTCCCTGTCAGAGGGTGGCTCCCGCCTGGCCAGGGGCGCCAGGCGGGTCCCTGCTGCAGCCCCGGGTGAGGTGAGGCTCAGAGCACAGTGAGGCACTTCAGCTCTCCTCCACTCCACCACCGTCCCCTGGCCTCCCCTCCTCTTCAAAGGACAGCACGAGGCCGCCTCTGCCAAAAAGGCCTGACACCTCCAACGGCCTGGCTGCAGGGCAGCATGTCCGCTCCCAGCTCGCCAAGGGCCCCGCTCCCCCTGCTTGTGGGCATGCGCACAGGCCGCAGCCAGAGCGCCCAGGTCTGACTCCTCTCCCTGGCTCTGCCGGTCCCAAGTTCCACACTTGCCACCTGACTGCTGACCTTCCTGAGCCTGGGTTCACCTGGGAAACGGGTTGACAACAGACCCTACACGTCAGAGAGCCCATGCAGTCCACAGCAGCGCTGCCGCCAGTCTTCCCGACGAGACCCTCTGAAGGCAGAGAGGCGCCCAACAGCTGGCCCAGGGCCTGCGAGGCAGCCAGCTCCAGACGGACAGGAGCGAGGGAGGGAGGGAGTGACGGCACTGATTACTTTATTTCTTCCTCAGAAAAACTTACCAAAGGGTGTCTTTTGAATCAGTGGCTCCCAAATGCAAACCTGAATCTCCTGGTAGAACACATGAATACATTTCTATATTTTTAATAAGCACCCAGGAGCTTCGATGCATGACTAAATTTGGAAACCACTGCTTTAAATCAAGAAGTTGACTAATAATGATATCAGTAGAAACTGATCATTAAATATTAGGATTTGAACTCGAGAAAAGGAAAAAAAAAAAGTACCCAGTGGCTGAAGTGAAGTTTAAGAAGCTCGAGAGAGAGCAGCAGTGCCGGGGAAGGCAGGCTCCTGGACAGGGGAGAGCGGAGCCGAGTCTGAGAAACCGCCCGGACACACGTCGCAGCCAGACAAGCAAGGGGGACGCAGAGCTGCTCCAGCGAGAGCAACGTGTACGCCTGAGGACGAAGGGAAACCCTGGACAGGCGGCAAGCACGAGCCAAGCTGGGACACCAAGAGGAGGTGGATAAAAGATCCCCTTGCAACAAGGGGGAGGTGGTCAAAGACGAAAAGTACTGGTTCCGCAGGAAGAGTTCCAGGGAGAGTTGATCGAGCAAGCAGCAGAGGCTTAGCAGCTGAAACAGGAAGGAGGAGGGAAGGCAAGTGCCCAGAAAGAAGGGCCCAGGACGAGAAAAGCTGGGCACCTGGTGGGCCAGCCCACCAGCCCTTCCCCAGGCAGGCGACAAGAGGGTGAGCACCGTGAGGGCTCCTCCCAGGACCTGAGAGCAGTTCAGGCCATGCAGCCAGGCAGGGAGGTCTGGGAAGAGCCGAGGACCTTTAAGCCTGGGGACCCAGAGAAGCAGCAGCAGAACACTGGTCTCCTCAGCCTCTCTGCAAGTCTGCAAGTTCGGGCTGCAATGGCTCACGACCCATGAGACAACAGCGGCTGGTCAGAGGGGTGCTCACTGGGGTGCAGTAAGTACCAAGGAGCTGAGACAAAGCAGCAGGACTGGGGAGAGCACGTACCCCTCAATCCAGGCACAGCACCAAGTCATCCAGGAATGGCACGAGCTGCCTCGGAACCACAGGGGTACAAACCACACATGAAGGCAGCCTGCCCCCCTCCCTGAACAGGCACTGGGTGTGAGAGCCCACACCTGCCTTCCCTGTAGCCTGGCCTCTCTCCTCACCCGATCCATCTTGAAATTCCGCCCCAGGACATTTTTCTGGTTGGTATCCACACCATCACAGCTGGTCAGGAACTCAGGGAGGAAGGCTGCAAAGAAGCCATCAAAGTCCACAGAGGCCATGTTGTAAATGGCGATGCCGATCTCCTCCTGCAGGAGGTCGTGGGACTTGTGCACCAGGACCTGCAGCAGCACGTTCACAAACTGAAACAGCATGGTGGTCCGGAAGATCTTCTGCAGACAGAGAGCCCAGAGTGTGTGATGGCCATGAGGCTGACTCAGGATCCCTGGGGCCTCTCCAGGTCCCAGTCACTTCCTGTCATGCTGCTGCTATTGACCTGAAAAGGCTGAGACTCAGCCAGGACCCCTGACACCTTCGACAAGGAACCTTTCTGAGTGTGAGATGGGCACTTACCTTGTGGTACAGCTTCTGCTTGGTGTTGAGTGTCTCCAAGTAGAAGAGATTTTGTTTAAATAGGTGGATGTCAGGCTGGAGAAAGGACTGTCCAAAAGCCTGTCCAAGAAATAAGACCACCGTTCTGTAAGGAGCGTTAAACCCTCAGACCTGGTCCTTCTGGGCAACCTCCCCCGCCAGAGGAACCGGCACCCCGCACGCGGCTCCTCGTGCTGACACGGGGCACGGGATCTGCTAGCTCGTCTTCCAGCCCGTCTGCTCGGGTCTCAGGAGTGTCCCACGCAGTCTTAGCTCCCAGGCCCTCCCCTCTGGGCCTGACTTCTTTTTGGCCTCATTTTATACCTTTCGCAATGAACCTCTGGACTCCTTCATGAGACCTACCTTTGAAGCAAGAAGCTCACAACTAGGCTAAAAGCTTGGCCTCCCTTCAAGCCAGCCACTCACACTCCATAAGCCGCCCTCTCCCTGGCATCCCAGGTCTTACAAACTGCACACCCTTAGACGCTCCATCACAGCCAGCTGCCTCTGCTCTGGGGTTAAGCAACAGCAATTTTTAAACTGCTTTGCAATTTCTGGCTGTAAAAGTAACTAACTAGCTCAAGGGCAAAAAGACTCCCCCCATCTATCAAAAAATAAACCGCAAAGAGCCTTACTCCAATAGAGACTGGGAAGAGTGGGGTGGGCCAATGAAAGGCAAAGCGCAGTGTGCAAGACACCTCCCTAGAATACGCCCGGGACTACCTTACCCTGTCCCCAGGCTCCTAAGGTAGGAGAAGGGTCCTGTAACCCCTGCTGCAGTGACAGGATCTCCATGATGTCCTGTGGTTTTCACTCATTGATTTTTAAAGTCAGGTTTACTGAAGTGTAACACAGAGTAAAACTCACCCTCTGGAGGTTCACCATTATATAGTTCTGACTAACACATCCAGTTGTCTAACAACCACTGCAATGGAGACACAGAACACCTCCAGCTTCTCCGAGTTCCCTCGGCCCCAGGCCATCACTGGTGTCCTGTGGCTCTAGGCACGCCCCTTCAGAGCGAAAAGGATGTAGTCATGTAGCAGACAGTCTTCTGGATCCAGCTTTTCCAGCTACCATCTACGGTGCCATTTGTATATGTCTCCCTTTTTTTTAATCCTCACCCAAGGATGTGTTTATTGATTTTAGAGAGAGAAGAGGAAGAGAGACAGAGAGAGAGGAAAGAAAGCGAGAGAAATATCGATGAGTTGCTTCCAGTACACTGACCAGGAACTGAACCAACCTTCTGGTGTACGGGACGATGCCCTGACCGAGCGAGCCACCCGGCCAGGAGCCCCCCAACGTGCTCCTTTGCACTGCCAAGCAGCAGGCCTCACATGCACGTACCACTGTTTGTCCACTGGGCAGCGGACAGATATTCAAAACATGTTTCCAGCTTTTGGTAATTTTGAAAATAGCCACAATAAACACCTGTGTACAGGTTGTGTGAATATGTTTTCATTTATCTTAGGTAAAATACTTAGAAGTGGAATTGCTAAGTAATGCAGTAAGTATATGTTTAACTTTATGACACCAAACTAGGAAATTGTCTTCTAAAGCAGCGTTTACTAGCACTGTCTACCCAAGAAGACTTCAAAGCAAGGGCAGAGTTTAAGAGGAAGGCAAATCCAAGCTGCGTGGGGTGCTGGCGGTGGCAGTCCAGAGGCGTGACTGCAGGTGACCGGGGAGGGCATGTGCTCTCAGGGGAATCTCCACACAAGGAGTGGGTGGCGGCGTGCGTGTATGTTGGTGGGGAGCATGCACTGAAAACACAAAAAGAAAACCTACTTCCACCCAGACTCAGAACACAAGTGTATACTATACACACAGCTGCGTGTGGAACAAGGAGCCCTGGACGCCGCCACAAACCGGCCCGGCCGTCCTCATAGGAGGCCGCCCGCCTTCCAGCAGGTGCAGTCAGCCCCGATAGCTCGCTCTCCAGGACCTAACAGTCACGCTTGGGGTCTGAAAGGGGGCACTGAGTCAAGGGGCAGTGCTTCTCCCAGTACTGTACTAGCCAGAATTCTCTTGAAAAATGCAGACCACGGGGCCCCCTCCAGAGACGCCACCAGTTAAGGAGTCCAGTGACTGAGCAGGCAGGCTCCGCACACCTGGGGAGAGCACAGGGCAAGGGAATGACTCTCCCCAGAATCTACACGCGCCAGGCACTGTGTGTGCTACTAGTTTAGCCACACAAGAAAATCAGGAAACAGGCAGCATTATCCCCAGTCAACACATGAAGAGACTGAGGTTCCAAAAGTTCACTATCTGCACAGACACTAAGAAGTAGAGTTGCACTTCAGACCCAGACAACAGGGCTTCAGAGACGGTACTTGTCGCAGCAACCACGTCAGAGTAAGTGGGACTGAGTGTCAGAGAAGCAAACTGGGGGAGACAGCCCATGGACCCAGGTGGTGTCCCGAACGCAGCCTGTCTGTTCTTGATCGCAGGCGACCTCAGCAGCTCTTCCACGTTACCTGCATGATGGCACTGAACTGAGGCTCATTCTCCATCTGCTCTTCGGCAACCCCCCTCTGGACACTGGCCAGGACAGTGGACTTGAAGAAGTATCTCCAGTTGTGATGGAGTGTCCGGAAAAGGAGCTCAAACAGCTCAGCCTTCACATCAGGGGAAGGGCGCTGTGGAGACACACACAGACCCTCAAACCTTCCCTTCCTGCAGTTCAGGGAGCCACGCACAGCCCAGACCCAGAGCAACCGAGAGGTCTAAGAGATGCCTGGCAACTGCAAGCAGAGCGTCAGCTTCCTGCCCAGACTCCTGTCCTACGAAGCTGCCTAAGTCAGCAGTTCAAACCAGGAGTACTTCGGCAGAGACGGAGCCACCTCTGAAACAGAAGGCAGGGGTCGGTGCAAGGGACCCTTTTCTGATGGAAGCACTCAGCTTTTTTAAGCTAGGAAACGGCTAGTAAAAGGAAGAGTAACTAGGAACATGGCCTTTCTGTTCGAGTTGTTTCGATCTGTAATTCCGTCTTGGTTGTTGTTCCTTTTCCCAGGCTGTCTAACCTGCTGATCTTATGCAACCTCAAAAGCTAAAGACAAATAAGAAGTCTTAAAGGAGATCTGCCCTCTATAGAAAATGGGTTTAAGGGGCACTTAGGAACCACAGAAAGAAACGTCAGAGGACCTCCGGGGGATGGGGGGGCCAGCAGATAGGGGTGGGGTGGCGGGCAGGGCTGACTGTCCTCTGGGCCTATCTCCTAGGATTCTGGGATGAGGAGAGGGGAAGGAGGCTCAGCAAAATTTTCTAATTTGACCAAAAATCTTCAAGTCACATCATTCCAGATGTCTGCAGAATTCAAAATTATAAAGCCCATATATATATATATATATTTTTCCATTTTTTGTTCAAAATGGACATTTTTCCATTTTTTGTTCAGATAGAGTGGGAGGGAGAGAGAGGAAGAAAGAGAAACATTGACGTGAAAGGGACACATCGAGTGGCTGCCACCCGCACAACCAACCAGGGCCAGGGACAAACTGCAACCGAGGCATGCACCCTTAGCGGGAACCGAACCTAGGTCTCTCTGGACTGCAGGCCGACGCTCTAACCACTGGGAAAACCGGCCAGGGCAAGCCCAGATATATTTAATTCAGCCCGATTAAGATGAACTGGAGACAGAAGGCATGGGCTCCCATGGCAGGTATCCTTACAGGGCCTGTGTATGTTTAATGATGTAAAGTAAGTAGACTCAGATCTAAGCCTTAATTTGGGCTGTTAAAAAAGTTAGCTCTTATTTACATAACTATTACATAAGATTTAGTTTATCTATACTGATTCTGGATCTTGTCATGCTGCATGTCCATCTATTTTCTAAGAACAAAGAGCTTCCCAATGACAAGGAAAGCTCTGAATCATTCTCAAAACCTGCCTTGTATCCTTGAGATCATCAATGTTCTGGATGGAAAAGTACAGTACATTTGTTATAATGTTTGCTGTAGAAAACTATACATTCACCTAAAGTTATAAATTGTTTGCCATGGGAGGTTGATCTTATTTACCAACCAACCTTGATTACACTGAATTAGTTCTTATTAACTCAACTAATATGAAAACACTATACCAAGCTAAAGGCATTCTTTCTTGGAAAAAAGCAATATACAGCCCAGCTGGTGTGGCTCAGTGGTTGAGCGTCAACCCATGTACTGAGAGGTGCCGGTTTGATTCCTGGTCAGGGCACAAGCCCAGGTTGTGGGCCCCATCCCCAGTGGGGGGCGTGCAGGAGGTGGCCAATCGATGTTCTCTCTCATCGATGTTTCTCTCTCTCTCCCCCCCTTCCTCCCTCTCTCTAAAATCAATAAAGAAAAAAAAAATTTTTTAAAGCAATGTATAAAAAACAATAAAATAGCTAACACATTAGATTTAAAATACAATGCATTTTCCTTAATATTTCATTCCCTTCCCAACTAGACGGAAGCAGCACGAGGGAGCACCCCGCCTCTCATACCTCGGCCACAATGGGATACACCTGCTCCATGCACAGGGAGATGATGCTAGGGAGGAAGGGCTTGAACACCTGGCCTGGCTCCTGTACCACCACTTGCAGGATCTTCAGGAACTTCTCAACCACCCGGCAGCCAGTGCTGCCTTCATGAAGGATGCTCTCGGCTAATTGTTCTCTGCAGACAAAAGAAACCACACAGTAGCCAAGGAATGGTTCCTCTGGGACCAGCATGAAAACCAACACTGTGGCAAGTGAAGAAGAGGAGCAAAAAGTCCCCCACTTTGTAGCCGGGTCCCACTACTTCTCACTTGAAATTTGAAAAGCATGGACAACAGGCGTGTGGTTACCTGGTAAACATATTGAGGAAAGTCTGTATGATCTGTTCAGTAAAAGGCACACCCATCTGTACTCTAAGGCCTCGAAACAAAGTGAGGAAAAAGCTCAGCATCTCATCAGTTACATCTAAACAAAGGGACAAAGCAAATGATTAGAGGCATGCGCACAGGGATAAACGGAAGCCCTCGGCTTAACTGACTTCCTCTTGCAATCTGCACTATCATCTCTCTCTACAGCTTCCTGCTGGAAGAAATTTCCCCAACACCATCAGAGCCCGTGATGGAAAGTGGGAAGTGATCAAGGACATGCTGAGAAAACAGCTCTGGTGCGGCGAGACTCTGCTTGATGGCTCACCATAGGAACTGAAGCGCCCTCACCGCCCAGCCCGGCCATGTTCAGAGTCTTCCCTGCAGATGGACTGTTTTGCACACACACTGATGGAACTATTCAATTGGGTCAACACCTGAGTGCTTTAGTGATTTCTCTCTATGACCAACAATCCCTGCAGTTGGGATTAAGTCAGGGGTTAAGTGGCTAAAAAGTGGATAATGACAGTGTGTTCAGATGGCAAGGCCCTGGTCCATTAAATGCATTATTTTCAGAAAACACTGGTTACATTTAATGTTGTTCCACTTCCAGATCTAAATGATCATCTTGTACGGTATATTTTGGCTCTAAACACACAAACTCTGCTCACAAGAGGCAAACCCTGGCCCGTTTTGCTCAGTGGTCAGAGCCTCGGCCTGCAGAGCAAAGGGTCACGGGTTTGATTCCAGTCAAAGGCATGTATCTGGGGTGCAGGTTCAATCCCTGGCCCTGGCCGGGGTCATGCAGGGGGCAACTTAATCAATGTGTCTCTCTCACATTAATGTTTCTCTCTCTATATTCCTCCTTCCCTTCCACTCTCTCTAAAAATCAATGGAAAAATATCCTCGGGTGAGGATTTAAAAAAAGAGGCAATCAGTAAATTTTTGCTAAGAAACTCTCAATATCTCATCAGACTGAGAAGACTACTACTGCAAATGCTCTCACATTCCTGCACAGAGCTAGGCAGAGCCTCTGTCAGTGACAGTGATAGAGCAGGGTGTGGGACGCCATCTCAAACCCATCTTGCCTTATAAGTAAGTAGCACTTATGGAAAAAAGTTCCTTCCTTTCCTGTATAATGCCCTAATACTCTCAGCCATTTATGTTCCACATGGCAGAAGACAAAGCCTTCAAGATAAAAACAAGGCAAGTGATTCAGTGCCACCTGACACAGTTATAAGGCCTATATGAAGCCTCCCCAAATAAACCTCACTGCCCTCTGCCCTCGGTATCAAGGCCTGTGCTGCTGACTTGGTGTGCTCTACAGAGCTAAGCAGTTGCTCTGGCCCTTGTGAGGCCTATGGCCAGCTCCTACCTGATTGATGAATAAAAGCTGGAAAGAGGGCCAGGGAGACCTGAACGGATTCCTGCAGTGAATGGTAGCAGATCTGCCGGGACTTGGTGGATTCCCCAGAGATATTCTCCACGATGTCTTCTAAGACACTAAGTGTCTGGTGGATAATCACTTTGGCTGCAAATCAAGATTAAGTTGCACGTTATGACTTGTATGAGGATAAAGAAGAGTAAGAGGGAACACAAGGGAAGGAGAAGAATCTGCAAGGGTATTCAGCAGATAGGAGCACAGGCATCTTCCTAAAAGGTCAGTCTCTCTTGATTGAGTTCTCTCTCTCTCCTTTTCTTCCTTTCCTTCTTTTTTTCCCTTTTTACTGTCAGAACTCTAGTTGCCTGCTTAGTTTTTCCCTCTATTCTGCTTCTATCCACCAGAAACAAGTCCACAGAAAAGAAAAGATCAAATGTACCCTCAGGTTAGACGCCTTGGACTTGAGATTCTAAAATGGTGAACAAACTGGTGAGAAAATAAGTGTCACAGATAACTGCCACAGGAAAGAATGGACACTCTGTAGATCAAACACTCTCCTTCAACTCCAAATATGACCCTAGCCTGGTAATACACACAGCACCTGCCACGCCCATCATGAAGACAAAGAGAACCTCACTAAAACAGTGTGGGGAAGCCCTGAGGGGGGACTTCCACACATGAACTTCTAGTTGCAGCCTACATAACCAGCAGAAAGAAGGTAAGCATTGTTTTGGCAAGAGAGGTCATTTTCCACTTATGAATTTCATCTCCTGCTTTTAAGAAAAAGAAAGGCCCCTCCCTGCCATAGCAACAATGCACTAACCAACACTTGCAGCGAATGAGAAACTGCCACCACCTCCAACTCTTCTCCTACAATAAACTTCAGTGCAGAACAATCCTCCTCAGTTTCCGCCTAAAAGCTGCCCTACCCTTTGTCTCTTTGGACTTGCCTGTGGCTTGCTACATTTTGCTTGTCCCAAATTGCAATTCTCTGTTATTCCCAAATAAACCCATTTTTCTGGTAAAATAATTATTTTATTTTTGAGGTGACATTATATGGTGTCAGACGTGGGATCCAAAGGCGACAAACCGCTGAGGAACTAACCACCCCTGGAACTTTGTGAGGCACCCACTTGAGCCTGTTGTGCTCTCCGCTTCCATACGCTGTCTTTTTCCTTTTGGTTAGGTAAACCTGTCAGATGCCAAGGGCCCTCCCTTTGGTTGAGTTCTCAGACTTTATTTGAGACCTACTTAAATGTTTCATTTTTTGTTTTTATCAAGACACTGCCATTCCTGATGAGTACTCCTTGTGTTTGGAATTACAATGGCCATTCTGGGGAACCTTGTTTCAAGTTAATTACCTTTAAGGGGCACCCTTAAAAGACAGAATTCCAAATCTCTGAAACAATGAATTCTTTGTTGGTATGCAGAAGCTTCTAAAGGACAAAATAACTCCAAAAACTGCTCTACAAAAAATCCTTACAGTGTGCAAATTTTCTTTAAAATATAACTTTGACCATCTGAGCAGGCAACCTTAACTTAGTCCATCCATCTCCTGGAAACACAATTTGGATCCAACTATTCTTTTGAGTTTCATGCCTGAACATGGCTAATATTTTTAAAAATCTGTTTCTGTCTACCTGTATTGTCTACATATATGTATGTGTATGTGACATTTTTCTACCTCTGAATGGTATTACCAAAATTGATCTGCAAAGAGATCTATTTACTGAGCTTTAAAAGATTAAGCACTGCCCTGGCTGGTTTGGCTCAGCGGTCAGAGTGTCGGCCTGTGGTCCAGAGAGACCCGGGTTCGGTTCTTGCTAAAGGCGTGTACCTCGATTGCAGTTTGTCCCAGGCCCTGGTTGGGTCGTGTGGAAGGCAGTCACCCGATGTGTCCCTTTCATGTCGATGTTTCTCTCTTTTCCTCCCTCTCCCTCCCACTCTATCTGAACAAAAAATGGAAAAATGTCCTCAGGTGAGGATTAAAAAAAAAATTAAGCACTTATATAAATTAAGCACACTCTCAGAAATGTAATGAAAACTAACCCAAATGAATTTCAGGGAATATATCCAGCGTTAACATTGTTCCAGGTTGTTGGTTTAATTAAAACAGGCATATCTTTAGAATTATTAGCATGATACTTTTATTTTACCTAGGTTTACTGAAAAAAATCAAGTAAGTTCATATTATCTGTTACAAAATTTGTCAGCAAGAAAAATAACTTAAGATAATGGTTATTAGCTGTTTAATGTCCAATCCCAGTGTAACTGTTAAAAACAAGTAATTTAAATAAATACAAATAAAGTAAAAATCAAGTAACAGATATTCATTGAATATCTAAATCATTTGCAATGACAATAAACATTAAATGCTAAAAATAAGTTTAACTACTTATGGCATTTTAGTTTTTACCCCCAAAAAATTTATTATAGAAACAATATACTTCCAAAAATTTTGAAATGTATTTATAACTTTGTTAATCTTCTACTGGATACGAATACATGAAAAACAGTCACAAGTGCCTGCTTTCTAGTTTTCAAAGGAAAGCAAAGATTCCAAATAGTTTAAAAAGTTAGAAGGGCTAAAAATACAAATGAAACAAAAAGAAAATGTCAACACTTGAGTAACAAGCATAAGTTAACTCTGCACAAATAGACAGCACTGATGCTGAGAGAATGCAGATAAAGCAGCAGGCACCCCATGGAAGATAAGAAGCAACGGAACTCCCATGAGAGCTTTCTCCTACTGCAGAAAGATTTACTGCAAAATCTGGCGAGATACCATGTTGAGTGATGATCAACTTTTACTTAAATAGAAAATATACATAGTATCCATATTTGTCAATACTGACAAATGGATAATACATATCTTTAATTCTATCTACATTCTACAAATAGAGTATAGATTTGTTATCTATATATAAATAAGAAAATCGTTTTATAAAATGCAAAATGTAGTATATGCATGGCATATACTGAAAATAGGAAAAACATGTCCATTTATTAAATTTTTATTTGTTATGTATGGGCCATAATATACACTATAGTTCTTGCTATGAAATGACCCAACATTTGAAAGCCACTGCGCTTACACCACAGTGAACTGAGCAAACAAAAGTGTCTGTGCAGCCGGCTGAAAGGCCAATACAAGAACAAGCACCCTTTCTGTCTTATTCACACACAGGGCTAACTCAAGGCAGGCCATAATCACTCTTTGATAGGCTCATACGCTGCTGCCTGGTCTGTTCAGGTTCGTAGCCAGGCAGTCATCTTTATTTAAAAGAACTTCCCATTTCTTATCATTACTAGCAAGGCCGGGAATTCTGGTGGTGGCTTCCCAGATATTTATAGCTCTGCCATAAGTTTAAAAGTTGTTGTCCCATCTTTCAAATCTTTATTTTGCCTACTAATACAGAGCAATACTATTCAGCAGTAATGTGGGGATCCTATTGCCCCTGTCTGTTCTAATCATCCCCAGCCTCACAAAGACATGAATAAATCTCATACTATAATTCCAAAGTGCATGTGGCTCATTTTAACTGTAGAAAGAGTTTATATTCATTGCATATAATGCAAGGCAATTTAGATAAGCTTTGTAAGTGTTTAAAATTGACTTCAATTTGAATTGAAATTGTCAGAAAAAAGAGGTTTTTTTTAAAAAAAAACTACTAAAAAATAGTAGGAAAGAAAGAAAATGACTGTGAAATGTAGGATATGTATTTTCAATGAAAGAAGGTATGAAGAGTAGAGATATAGTTTTTGGTAAGGGGGGAAAGAAAGTAATTTTGTCCTAAAGTAAAACGATTATTCCAAAATAAGAAAGAAAAAAGACAGGAAATAACCTAATTGATATGAAAAGTTACAGAAAGTTTATAGAAAAGAAATCTTGAGAAAAGGACTTTATGTGGTGACCACAAATTGGAACTCTAACAAGCAACTCCAGTTTGCCTCCAATTGCAATCTCTGCCATTCCTGAATAAACCCATACTGCTGGTAAAACAACTGACTATATTATTTTGAAGATGACAACATCTACTGCTGATGTATTCAGAAATAAACTGCTTAATCACTCCTTGGCCTAATGGGCATGTGACAATAGGTATAACTGTTATTATTATGCTGTATTATAGTACATATTGTTGACAATATGTACTTCTAACAATACCCTAACGTAAGAGCTCACTGGATGACTCCATATAGCATATGGGAAAACAGAGCTGGTGGCCAGCAAACAGGCAGAGTTCAGAAGAGAGAGCAAGGGCCCGGATCAGAGGAGCCTGGATGTGAACGGCAGATGATCACTGGGTGGCAATACACCGGGGCAGGGTCCGTGTCAGTACACTAAGGACACCAAAAGCCTCAACTCTGCAGAGTTGCTGTGAAGATCAGAGACAAGGTTCAGAATAATTCTAGTAAGTGTCTGGTATATCAGAGGGTCCAGCAGAGAAAAGCTGTCATCACTTCCCAGCACTGCTAGGGTGTCTTCCCCTTAGGCACTGCTTCCCCAAGAAGCCCACCATGGCTCAGCCTGAGCTTGGCGGCCTCAGCCCTGGCACAACTCCAGTGCCAAGCTACCAGAGCTGCCCTCCACCTGGCCGTGCTCTCTGGATTGCCCTGACCCCAGAACTCACCAGCTTCTGGGGACTAAAGAGGGTTCTAGGGAAGGGTACACAGAAAAAGTCCATGCTTGGGAGATAGATGGAATCAGGTTTGACTCCTGACTCTGCTAGATTCTGAGTCTCAGTTTCTTCATCTGAAGATGTGGAAAGATAACACCACCTCCCTCATAGGACTGAGCATGAAAGAAGATAATGGCTCACAACAGGCCTGGCCCACTAAAGGTTGGTCACAGGGCTGTTGGAAAGCAAAGAAAAAGGCACACCCATAGTACTGATCAAGAAGCCACTCACAACTACTATAGCACAGGGACTTTTACCCCCAGGAAACTGCACTTGGGGAAGACATTTCCCCAAGAATACGTAAGGCACAAGGAAAGCAGGTTAGGAGAAAAGGCCATGAGTCAAGAAACCCACATATGACCCTTTGATGTGTAAAGAAATTGAAACAACAAAAAAATAAGATTTATTCACAAAAATGTACAAGTAAAAAACTGAAAGCGGCATTAAATACATGGTAATAGAATAGGGATGTAAACTGTGTTACTTCCATAACTCGGATATTACAAAGCAATTATAAACAATGCTTAAGAAGAAAGGGGCAATATAGTAAAGAGCAAGGATCTGGAGCCATGCAGACCCAAGTCTGACTTCTGCTCCCAGCTCTCTCTCTTTGACCCTGAGCAACTTACACCTGCCAGGCAGGGGTGGGGGGGACACCTCTGCAATGGAGACATTGGCAGACAATGCCTGAAGCTATGCAATAGGAAGTACATATCACGGTGGTATTCCTGCCAAAAGTTGCTGGAAGCAATCAGAACAAGATTATAGGCCATTCTACAAATAACAAAACAACAAACAAAAAACAGGCCTGGACTCTTCAAATATGTCAATGGCCACGAAAAAGAAAAGGCAGGGATGCTTGTCTATATTAAAAGAGACTAAAGAGATGTGGCAACCAAAAATAACACATGCTCCTTGATAGTATCCTGGATTTTGTAAGAGCAAAACTGGAAATTTTGGTAATGACCAGGGAAAACGTGAATGGGTCTATATGTTAAACAACATTAGTCTAACAATGTTACACAGCCTGGTTGTATTAATGGTGTTTTGGTTATATATGAGAATATCTTGTTCTCAAAGATAAACTTTAAATATTCAGGAATAAAGTGCCAATGTCTGCAACTTACTTTAAACAGCTCAGTTAAAAAGAAAAAGTATGTATAAGTGGTGAGAACACAAGTATGACAAAATATTAATAACTGGTGAATTCTGGTGAAAGATATACAGTTGTTTATTTTCTTATTCCTTCAACTATTCTGTAGGTTAGAAAAATTCCATAGCATAAAGCTGGGCCAGGAATATCTTTCCAGGCCTTCATTTTATTACTTGGAGAATGAGGACAACAAGATATACCTCACAGGACCCCAGGAAAGACTAAATGAAATCATGCATGTGAAGTTCTCAGCCAGCGCCTAGCACACAGCACACACTCATTAACTGTTTTTAATTACAATCAATGTGGAAATCATTAAAGCTATTCAGTAAATATTTCCAGCACGCGGTGGCATCATAGTTTCCACCCCCTCTGAAGTTAAACCATGGCCATATAACCATACGTTCCGGCCAAAAAAATGAGTGGAAATAAGTGTCCCTTCTAAGCAAGGGCCTTTCCCAGTGTAAACACAAATTAAAATAGACCCTTCATAATCCTGGGTCCTTGAGTGACTAGAATGAGCAGGACCTCCCCCAAACCCTGACCCACGTTGGACATGTGATATTAACAAGAAATAAAATTTTCCCTGCATTAAGCCACTAAGCTTTTGGAACTATCTGTGACACATAGCATACATAACCTAGCCTATACTGACTGCTATAGGACATGTAAGATAAAGTGAGAAAAGAAAACCATTAAACTTTATAACGCATGGTTCTATATAGCTGTATATAACCCCTGGGCACCTTACTTAATCTTCCCCCACGTTAAGTTTCCTCATGGATAAAATCAGAATAATTCACAGTACCTAACTCATAATGCTGATGTGGCAATTAAATGAATTACTGAATGTAAAACACTCAGGATTAGACAAATACCAGACGCTGAAGGCTGATGCTGGCACAGGCGGAGATCTGGTGATGGAAGATGGTTGGGGCAAGTATGCCCTTACACAGTATGCCCTCAGCAAGTCAGCCATTCTTATCCAACAAGATAAAGTACTAAAGCTGGTGAAATGTAAGAGTTTCTCTTTTCTTCTTTATACTATTCTAATATTTTTGAACAATGAGCACGTTAGTGTTCCTAATTAGAAAAGTATTGTTTTTTTAAATGTTGAGTATTACCATTTCTGACATTTCACAAAGCATTTCCATTGGTATTCTATAAATAATGTTGGTCAATAATGTCCCATTGTTTTCTTATTGTGAAACAGACTGTATTTTTAAATTTTATCTACAATAATTATTTCAGGAAGATTTTTCAGAGAAATCTGATACCTTCTACTTGACTTATTGAGTTCTCTTGATTCATTTTCTTCTGCCTCTTTAATTTAAACAGTCAATTCTGTGCCACTTGTGAAGATGTCAAGCCCTTTCAAAGCTTCTGAAATAGTTGTTATTTGGAGAAAGGTTAAAAACCGTTTCAAAAGATAATTCTTAGATTCTTTTTCCCCAGTGTATATGCGAACTGCCTTGCTTGCTTATGCAAGTATCTGAAATGGGTCAATAATCACTGCAGAATATTTTTTTTTAATCCACAGGCCCTCAATAAACAATTTTCTTATTTTTTACATTTTAAATAAGAGAAGGGGCATCCTGCATTCAGAAAATAGATCCAGCTGATGTGTTTGCTGACTTCCACAGGTAAGTGGATTCTACCCCTCAAGTCCAACTCTTCTACTGAGCAGCTGTGTGACTATGGACAAGTTAATTCACCTCAGGAGCCTCAAGTACAAACCTAATCTGCCACAAAGAAAGAACAATGCCTGCCCTCCCTCCCCCCCAAGGATGTCCCTGCCTAGGGGCCACTTACTATCGTCCAGGGGCATCTTCCTCTGTGGGGCAACAGCACTGGGCTTCAGGTTGCGATAGTCCCGGGAGAGTGCAGAGATGAGGCTGGCGTGGTTGATGGAGCGCACAGGCCACTGCTGCTCATTCTCCGGGAGGTTTGGCCATGGAAGCAGCAGGATATTAGAAAGGGCTCGGCACACCAACACCTGAGCCTGGAAGAGACCCCAAAGGCACCCATCATGAGAAGTTCAAGAGCAATAGACAGCAGGGCAGCCGTGCCTCACATGGTCTGTAGCACACACTGAGCTCAGGCCTCCAAGGCTCCTTTCTTATAACCTGGATCTGGGGCTTTGGCCAACCCTAAGGGAACCCTGGGAGGAGAGAAATGGAAGCAGTAACACCAGCTGTGGGTCTAACACACCCCAGGGCCAGCCTCAGTAATTATTGCTGATACTTGAAGCATCAGAGAGAAATCAGGCACTGCAGACACTGAATCTAACTAGTCTCTCTGCTGCTGGCTTCTGACACCTCGGAGGACCTACTCAGAACAGGGCTGTTAAGAGAATCCCTTATAATCAACGTGCCCGGAGTGTCAGGCCACAAGCAATACATTCACACCCAGGTGCTCTTAATTAATTGCTCTGATTCCATCCCTGTGTTGTTTGTGTCTAAACGTCTAACCTGAGCTTCCCAGGAGGACTTTAAGAAAATATACTTATCTGAAGTGTCTCAACCCTCAGAAAACAAACATATAACAAGAATAAAAACAAACTATTTAAACCAAAAGAATGCAAAGGCTCTCACAACACCAGCCAAATCACCAGCTCTCCAAGTAGCATAAGCTTCACCCCAGTAAATAACATAAATTCAAAAAAAAGCAGCACCAGCTCTGTGCATCTCAGGAACTTTTTGTGTCTGAATCCACACACTGCCCGCATGGGGAAGGACGCTACGAGAGAGCCCTGAGGCTGTGTCAGTGCCCACATGTAAGAAAGCCATCTCCACTGGCCTGGCCATTAAGATCTGCGTACAGAAAGAATGGCCACTCTCTTCATCAGCTCCTCTGAGGCTGAGCCACATCACTCCAGTGACTCCAGGGTAACCCCGGGCTTCACCTTGTCAACAAGTCGCTGGGCAGAGGCATCGGTGATTCTGTTGAACACTTTCTGCACTGCAGGGATGCTGATCAGAAAGACGGGCCTCACGGTGGTGGCCAGTGAAACCAGTAGGTGGCACGCAGATAGCAGCAGCTTGTCTTGGACCTGAAGAGGAAAGAGGACATGTCAGCTCACTGCATCCCCTGGGACTGGTATTACAAGATCTTTGTTTAGCCACAAGCTAAACATGATTCTTGGCTGCCAAATTGTACCATGTAGGCTCTATCTCAATGTTTTCCTACAATGACGCCCATCCAAACGGCATCTTCTTCTTTTGCCTTGTCCACAGCTCCTGCCCTCCAGCCAGAATCAGCATCTCCAGTCACTCCTGTCACAGCACATTTGAGCTCAGTCACTTTTCAACTCAAGAATCTACAGTGGTTTCCTATCAGCTCTTACACCTCATGGCAAAATCCTTGGCATATCATTCAAACAACGGGGACTGTTCATCTCATTCCTCTTGCCCAACCAAGCCAAGATCTCTCTCGGCCCCACCTCTGCACTCCACGTCACGCCTGGCTCTCCTACTCACTTCACCTCAACATGCCAATCAAAAACTTGATTCAAGTACCGTTATGGCCTTTTCAAATTAACAGAAGAGATAACTGCTTATAGAAAAAACCTAATGCTGGTAAGACTATAATGAAAACAGCAAATGAAAGAGTCAGGGGTATATAGGATGTTTAGGAAAGAAACATTATTATAATTTCCTAGAAGCACATAATATTCTTAACCTTTAACTCTATAATCCCACTTATTCTAAGAAAATTACCTGAAAGGATAAAGTTATGTTCGTTCATAAATACACACTTTTCAGAAGTATCTGTAATGACCTTTTCCAAATGGCAGCTACTAAAAGTCCAGCAATGGTTAGGTAAAGTATGAAACATATCCCTCATGGGGTATTATATACAAATTACAATTATAAACACAAAAGAAATTTGTGAAAAATAATACATGATCCTGTTAAAGGTGGTACAGAATGTTCTGTATGACTAAAACCATTAAAAACAAACAAACAAACAAAAACATGCATTTATACACATCTAATAACACAAACTGGTCTTCCTGGAGGACAACTTAATAGAATCTATCAAAGTTTACATAGATATAACCTTCAACCCAGCAATTCCACTTCCAGTAATCCAGCCTACAAGAATCTAATTTTCATCAATAAGAAAAGTATAATATATGCCCATTACAAAATAACACTGGGCAATTTGAAAAGCTAACGTTGCTCCACACCCGTGAAGTCTCCAAAGCATATGGTTAAGCAAAAGAAGCTGTATCTGCAGCTGTGTACAAACTTTCCCTTATGTATGTAAACAGAAACATGTTTGAAGGACACACAACCACCTGTTGATAGTGCTTAACTGTGGAAAGCAAAATGTTTTGTTTTTTTTAATCCTCACCTGAGGACATTTCTGCATTTATCTTCAGATAGAGTGGGAGGGAGAGAGGAAGAGAGAGAGAGAGAAACATCGATGTGAGAGAGACACATCGACTGACTGCCACTCACACAACCCCAACTGGGGCCAGGGACAAACTGCAACCAAGGTAGGTGCCCTTAGCGGGAACCGAACCTGGGAGACTGGTCTGTGGGCCAATGCTCTAACCATTGAGCAACATGCCAGGGCGAAAGCAAATGTTTTGGAGGAAGGGATTAGAGTACCATAACTTTTTAGTTCATACATTTGAACCATATTTTACTTTTTCACATAAGCATGCATTCATGTAGGACTTAAAGAACTAAAAATATTATTTGCATTTATGTGAACTACAACTTAAAGGAACAGAAAATGGCATGTAGTCTGTATTATGATGGTAAGAATTATGGGTCTAATGCTATGTAATATTTTGATTTAATAATAAGTGGGTACATGGACAGAAGGACAGACACAGAGTTAGGTAAAAGGTGCAGCCTTCGCTGTTCAAGACCTTGGTGCTGATTAGAGGTGTGACTGCATCCATGGTAGTGGAGATGAGCGTGACAAACTGCTGTGTGTTCTGCCGATGAGCTTCGTTGCAATACTGTGCTAACCAGTGAGAGTAAGCTTGCAGAGCAGCCAGGGACTGAGCATGCCTGCAAAAAGGAGAGAAGATGCCATTTTAAAGGTTAAGGTCAACATATATTAGCATTAAATGTTGCTTCTATAGCAGGTAAAAATTCCAGCCACTGAGTTTACTGTGTCAGGATCTGTCCAACAACAGGGAAATCATTTACTTGCTCATGTCAAACCTAAAAATTAAAATTCATCATCTAAATATTGCCACCACTGCCCAGAATACAAAAGGCAGTTAATGAAGGTCTACCAGATCTGACTTCATCTTTCTGTGACACACGTGAGCATCCCTGAGAGAATGATAAATAAAAAAATAGAACCAAAGAACTTAAGTGATACTGTGTTGACTTTGGAACATGACAATCATAGCTGTAAATCAGGGCATAGACAACTACCAGTTATTAGAGCTCTAAAAGTAACTTGATACATGATTCTCCAGTTTAAGCTTCCATCACACCATACACTGTATCCGGTTAGGGGACAACTCTAGAGGAGGCAAAGACTATTTGTTTCTACCAATTCTATACTACATTATACACTGTAAAAGCCCAGAATTCATCAAAGATAATAAATCTTTTTTTTTTCCAAAAGTCTTTTTTTTTTTAAATATGTTTTTAGTCCAGCAAGTGTGGCTCAGTGGCTGAATGTCGACCCATGCACCAAGAGGTCGCCAGTTCAAATCCCGGTCAGGACACATGCCCAGGTTGTGGGCCTGATCCCAGCTGGGAGCATGCAGGAGGCAGCCAATTGATGTTCTCTCTCATTGATGTTTCTATCTCTCTCTGCCTCTCAATTGCTCTCTTTCTCTAAAAATCAATAAAGGGAAAAAAATTTAAAATACATTTTTATTGATTTTAGAGAGAGAAATGGAGAGGGAGAGAGATGGGGATCGAGCCCGCAACCCGGCATGTGCCCTGACCAGGAATCAAACCAGTAACTTCTTGATGCATGTGATGATTTTCAACCAACTGAGCCACACCAGATGGGCAAGAGAGTAAATCTTAAACAAATTGAGGCAGCTGTCTCAGAGCATACAGCACCACGCCTTCCAATCAATCTAAATGTGATTTCTCCCTTTCCTATAAGAAGTAATGAGAAGTGACACTCTGACACTATGTAAATATACCGTTCCCGAACAAATACCCATGGTTTTGTCACCCACTGAGGATCCCCATGTAAATCATTATTACACTGGTGATTTTTCTAATTCTATCTTTCCTTTTCTATTCATTAGTAGGCATTCTTCTGTAAAAAAAAAAAAGAGCTTTTTCTCCATCTTTTTTAAAATCACTACAGATGCATAGAACTCTTATAGTCAACGTTATAATCCATTATTATTCTTGTTCTTTCTTGATAATCAAGTATCAAGTCCAGATAGAAAAAATCCTTTCAGCCTAGTCCCTGCATCCCTTTCCTAACATTCCCTGAGCACTTTCCTCCTTACTGACTCAGTAAGATTTTCCAGGATCACCCCGCCCCAAACTTGGAATATTTCTCCCAGGAGCTCTGGTTCCTTTTAGTGGAGAATGTCCCTTAGAAACCAAGAGCCTGGGTACTAGGGATAGCACTGCCACCGGGGGTCACTGCTACTAGGACCTTTCACTGGACAGAACTAGGACACAGGCAGGCACCACTTGAAAATCAAACTTAGCATCAACAATTATAGGGCAGAATGACCTCAATTGCCTCTAGACGAGATGCAAGAGGAAGGACACACCATCACCTCTGGAGTATTCTTGCTAAAAATGTTTAGCCTCAATCTAATACTACAGTAGTAAAACAGTTAGACAAATCCGGATTTTAAAGATTTGCTTCAAGGAAAGAAAAAAAGTAAGGGCTGAATCTCCTAAATGTCAGTCTCTCTCTCCCTCCCTATTTCTATTCCTTTACCCCACAACATGCACAACTGGGAGAACTGTTCTAGATTATAAGAGACCAATTTAATTTGTAATTCATAATTAGCTATGTTTTGGATCAAAAAAGAAAGGCCCTGGCCAGTTTGGTTCAGCGGTTAGAGCGTCAACCCACAGACCCGAGAGTCCCGAGTTTGGTTCCCACTAAGGGCACCTGTGCTTCATCCCAGGCCCCAGGTGGGGTCGTGTAAGCAGCAACCAGTCAATGTGTGTGTGTTTCTCTCTCTGTCTCCCTCCCTACCTGTCTCCCTCCCGCTCTATTTGAAGATAAATGCAAAAATGTCCTCGGGTGAAGATAAAAAAAGACATTCCTGAGACAATAATTGGGAAAATTTGAATATTGTATATATATATGTGTGTATATTCTCTCTTTCTCTCTCTCAAAAATACTAGATGATATTGCTGTATCCATGACAGTTTTTGAGGGTTGATCATGGTATTATGGTTATGCAGGAGAATGACCTTATTGCTAGGAGATACATACTAAAAGGATTTACTAGTGCAGTGACACATTACTGCAATTTATTTTAAAATAGATCACACAAAAAATGTATGTGTGTACACAAACAGAAAGCACAATTAACAAGAACAAATGTGGCAAAACATTTATAATTGATGAGTCTAGCCTAAGAGTGTTAGAGTGTTCGTTTCATTTTCCCTCTTTGCTACAGGTGTGAACTTTTCCAAAGTAAGATGTTAAGTAAGAAAAAGTACTAAGTACCTTAAAGTAAGAAAATACAGGTATTGAGAATTTTAAATTCATAGTGACCAGGCAGTTATTTTGTATTTAGAATCTTTGATCCATTTAAGTTCTGAGTACCAAAAGTAAAGAGGAAGGACATCAGAGTCTGCCTTCATATTCTAGGAAATGTAGTTAATCTGCCCTGGCTGTTTTGGCTCAGCGGTTAGAGTGTTGGCCTGCGGACCAGAGAGATCCGGGTTCAGTTCCTGTTAAGGGCTCATACTTTGGTTGCAGTTTGTCCCCGGCCCCAGTTGGGGTTGTGTGGGTGGCAACCACTTGATGTGTCTATCTCACATTGATGTTTCTCTCTCTCTCTTCCACCCTCTCTCCCTCCAGCTCTGTCTGAAGATAAATGTCCTTGGGTGAGGATAAAAAAAAAAAAAAGAATTGCAATCTATCAAATTTATAGAGCCCTTGAAGGCTGAAGGGAGGGGTTCTACAACTTCCTGATGGTGTGTCTAAGGTACTGTTTATGAGAAAATCTGCATCTTTCTCAGGAGAAGCTTCACAGCTTTAACTTCTCAAACAGGAAAGCAATATTTTATAAATGTACACCATCATACTAAAAAGATTCTATCATTTATCTAATTTACAGCTCAAGAATGTTCTAGAACAGGGGTCAGCACATTTTTTACTGTAATAACCAGTATTTCTAGGCTTTGAAAGCTGTATACCCTCTCACAATTATTCTACTCTGCCACTGTGGTGCAAAAGCAGCCACAGACAATATGTAAATGGATGGACATGACTGTGTGCCAATAAAACTTCATTTACAAAAGCTGGCAGTGGGCCGGATTTGGCACCAATGATTGTTTGCCAGCCCCTACTCTAGTCTAGAGCAAGCCTTCTGGGCTGTGTGATCTCTGGGATATGGCCCATCCCTGTGCTCCATTCCTCTATCCCAGGGATTTTCAACTGGTATGCCACAAGAATTTTTAAAATATGCAACACCTGACTATTTTGTCAGAAGCACTGACCTCTTTTCCCTTAGACTGTCAAATAAAAAAATGACAACAGCCAACACAATAGCCAACTGCTGGAAATGAAACAAAATTATACCTATTTTTTGTCAGATTGGCAAAATTTTGGTAATTTTAGTAATTAGTTTATATGTGCCATGAGATGAAAAAGGTTGAAAATCGCTGCTCTAACACTTTTATATGTCACTTTCCTAATGGCTTCCCACTGTCTATATAAAGTTTCTCAAAATGTGGTCCCTGGACATCCTGCTTCACAATCACCGAGGTTCTAGTTTAACACGCAGATACCTGAGCCTATGCCATCTTCTGTCATCAGAATCTCTGAAGGAAGGTGTTCACCAAGGAAGTCTTTGGTACACTACAGTTTCAGCCACTGCTCTACAGGAGAAGATTCATGGCATTCAAACTGTTTCCACCTTCGTCCCAACATACCTATCAGCCTCATCTTCAACCACACGAACTGCTCACCATCTCCCCAAGTGTGTGACTCCCCAACACTGTCTTGCCTTGTGCTGTTCCTTCCTCCTGAAATGCCTACTCCATACATCTTCTACTCCCAGCTCTCGTCTGCCTGATTAAGTCCCTTACTCCATCCCCTGCACCCATGTATACAGTCAAGCCATCTTTCTCTTTCTAGATTTGGAGGTGTTCCTTTTCATCTATAAATGAGAGACTGGAGGACAGGTCTTTCCTGAGAAACACAAACACAGAACTCTACTTACACATCAATGAGATCAGGTTTCAATACTGATGGCACAGCAGTTTCAATGTTGTACAGTTTTATCTGAGACCCATACAGAGTGACTTTGACCAACCTGTTGGCAAAGAAGCAGGTAAGAAAAAAACATTCAGCTTATGGACTAAAATAAGACAAGATAGACAAGGTACCAAACAAAGGTCCCAAGAATAGAGACCAGACTGCAATCTTTTTCCAAAGATATAATCTGAGATGTGCGCAAAGATTTATATACAAATAATACTAACTAAACCATTATATATAGCATCAAAAACATTTGAAAAATAATATAAATATCCAACACAGAGAATATGATATACTATATACAATAAAAATGATTACAATTGAAACTTTTGTTTTTTATATTTTACCACAATAAATTTCTTTTTAAAAAGTAAATGTTTCAAGTGGATAAATATATGATAAAGAAAATATACCACTGTAAAATTTAAATTATGGGTATATATGGGTCTTCCTTGTATAATTTTTCAACTTTTCTGAAAATTTACAAATGTTTATGATAAAATGTGTGGGGAGGCTTTCAAGAATTAAATTGAGGTATTGTTAATTACAAGCACAATTATTTCAGGAGCAAACTGCTGAATCCACTGTTGCCCAAGGGCTCATTGTATACAAACAAGCATTAACTAAAATAACTAATAGCCAGCTCTACTGGGAAATGGAAAATGCCTCTTTCATTGCAGACAGACATCCTTTATGAGTCACGGGGAAACCGGAGACCCGGCTGAGTTCCCTCTGTGCTTACTGTAAGTAAACTAAACTGGACACCAGGGAAGACAGCATGTATTTTTCCCCCTCAATCTACGGGGCAGAGACTCTCAAACTTCACTGAGCCTAAGAACCAACTGCGGAACTTATTACAAATGCAAACTCCCTGACCTGACCCCACAGACCAACTATGTAGCTGTGAGGAGGGATCTAGAAATAGGCATCTCTGAAAAGCATCCGAGGCTCTGGCGCATATGGACAATACTCTGAAAAATGCTCCTCTCTGATGCAGGGGGAAAACAGAACTTTATTAGAAAGCCACAAGCTTGAGCCACAAATTATTCAGGGCTGGAGAGCAGGCAGAAGGGGGTATTTCCAGTCAGCCAAGAAAGTGAGGGTAGAAGAGTCAAGGGTTCCCAATCTGAAGTCCTGGGAAGGGGGTGGAGGTGATCACTAGAAACCAAATGGTTACTGCCAGTAAGCAATATACCAATGTGTACCTGGTATCTAACTTTAAATTATTATCCCTTCTTTACACTCACACAGCAAGTGTACAGTCCATTGGCATTATGTGCACTGACTGTGTGGCCATCACCACTGTCCATTTTCTTCTTCCCAAACTGAAACTCTACCCATTACATAACTCTCCGTTCCATACCCAGGCCCCCAGCCCCTGGCAACCATCACTCTTTTTTCTGTCTCTATGACTTGTACCACTCTAAATACCTCATGTAAGTGGAGCCATATAATATTTGACTTTACATTCTGTTTTTACATTATACAGCATTCTTTAATGATGTTCATCTCTTAAAATGGACTTCTAGCTTGGCTGGTATGGCTCAATGCATTGAGTGTCAACCCAAAAACTGAGAGGTTACAGTTCAATTCCTGGTCAGGGCACATGCCCAGGTTGCAGACTCGATCCCCAGTGTGAGGCATGCAGGATGCAGACAATCGATGTTTCTCTCTCATCGATGTTTCTATCGTTCTCTCCCTTCCTCTCTCTCTCTCTAATAAAAAACATATTTTAAAAAATAAATAAAAATGGCCCTGGCCAGTTTGGCTCAGCAGTTAGAGTATCAGCTTGTGGTCCAGAGAGACCTGAGTTCGGTTTCCGCTAAGGGCACGTACCTCGTTTGCAGTTTGTCCCCACCCCTGGTTGGGTTGTGCGGGTGGCAACCACTCGATGTGTCCCTTTCACGTCGATGTTTCTCTCTCTCCCCCCTCCCCCCCACTCTATCTGAACAAAAAATGGAAAAATGTCCTCGGGTGAAGATAAAAAGTAAATAAATAAATAAATAAAAATGGACTTCTAAGTGTGTCTTAATATTTCTATGTTTAGCAGAGTTAAAAAAATTTTTTAAATTGAATTTTAGAGAGGAAGGATAGAGGGGGGGGGGGAGAGAGAGAGAGAGAGAGAGAGAGAGAGAGAGAGATCAATTGCCTCCCACATGTGCCCTGACCGGGGATCAAACCTGCCACCTTTTGGCATACCAGACGATGCTCCAACCAACTGAGCCACACCAGCCAGGGCTGTTTAGCAGTATTATTATTAGATTTATTTTATGTAACCTATAACTTGAAATACTGATAATCACACTATTAAGATCATAACAAGGAGCTTCCTCACACTTTATTTTATACTGAAGACAAAATAGCTAAGTATCATTAGCACTGAGCCTACAAACCTAATCAAATACAAAATAAAGATTTGGGATCTACCACTCAAGTATAAAATTTTAAAAATGAATTTCAGACAGAAAGACATGTTCCAGTCATGCTAATCAACACTGGAAATTGGACTAATGCAAGAAGAGGAAAGGGTATTCTGGAAGTAGAAGCTCTGTGGTTTGGAAAGAGCCCAGTTTTTGGACTCAGGAAATTGGTTCAAGGCCATGTGCCCCCTCTCACCAATTGTGTGACCTGAAGCAAGACACTCACCATTCCCTGAGCCACAGTTTACTCATAGATAAGGGGACAATATCTGTCCCTCAAAGTATAGAATGAAATAAAATGTGCAAAACCACTTTTGAAAATTTCCTACTACTATATGCTGTTTTTATTAGTAATATGAATCTGGCTTTTAAAAATTTATAAAATTCTTGCCCTGGCCAGTTTGACTCAGCAGTTGAGCATCGGCCTGCGGACCAGAGTCCCCAGGTTCGGTTCCCGCTAGGGGCACATACCAAAAAAAATAATAATAATAATAATAATAATTTAAAAATTCTCAGTTATCTCTGCTTTTAAGCTAAGAGTAACAGTTAAAGAGAATATGCAGGTAACTAGGCTTGGGGCTTGATTTCCCCTTGGGGTGTAACCAATGTCAGGGTACTGGGCCAAAGAAAGCCCCAGGTGTCTTGACTTTAGGCTGGACCCACACTGACCCAGTTTTGAGCTAATCAACTCACCGGTTACCATGAAATGACCTTCAGTTTCAAGGGTATGACTTTTTCAGTGTAGGAATCCATGAACGAAGAGGAGACAGGGAGGACTAGATAGTATACCATGGTCCTCAACAAAGGCAGCTGTGAACCCGGTGGGGGGGAAGAGGGGGGTGACGAAAGGAGCTTGGTGGTGGAAAGGTTGGGAAGCACCTCTCAGGTCAGGCTTAGAGGATGCTCAGGTTTAACTCCTTAGGACCCTCACAGGACTAGAAAAACCAGTCCCACTGGGCAGGACTGAGGAAAATCCCACCTCTGCTATCTGGCTGCCTACTTGGACAGTGTCTCCTGCCTGGCTTTTGTTAATTAACAGGGCTTTCCTAATGTCTCTATCCTATGAGGAAAGACATGAAGATTGAGCTCTCCTGATTTCTTCGGAGGCTAATTCTGACTTTATAGCTATTACAAGATCTTCAATGAAATAACAGATTACATTATTGTCTGCTACATGCTAGGCCCTGTGCTAAGTAGTTCTCCCAATAAACCTAAAGATACTGTCCAGCCCATTTTATAGGTGAGGAACTGGAAATTCAGAGAGGCCCAGCAGTGGCTCCACATTCACACCTGTCAGGTGCAGAGCCTTGCTCTGCCTAGCGCCAGAGCAGAAGCTGGCTGGCACTGTGCTGCCCCTCACACAAGGTACAACTGCACTCTGCAGAGGGAATGGCTCCATGATGCGGTCGCCCACCTACCTCTCCACAACTGTGAGGGCATCACTGAACCTCGCAGCAAACACATCTCCAATAAAGTACTCGGCTAACCGGCCCACGGCCTGCAGCAGGGAGCTCAGGTCTCTCAGGGAACAGTGCAGTCGCCGGCAGTCATTCTCTGCTGTGATGTTCAACCTGTGTCCTGGAACAACATGCTTCAGTTACCACGACAGACAACTGCTCACCCAGGCCATCTCCATTTAGCAAAACCAGTCCTTGAAATACAACCACCCAGTCTGCTTCCCGGGACCAAGCCGGGAAACTGGCCCAGTCTCTACCTAAAGCAGACTCATATACACTCCAGAGCCAGAGGGAGGGACAGAGAGCAGAGGAAGAGGGACAGACAGCTGGGGGAGGGGGTGCTAATATGCACCAAACTGCCTTGTGATTCCTCCTGACCCTGTGAAGGATGGAAGGATCGATGCCACCAACTTTACATACAAGAACACACCCCCAGGGAAGTCCGGAAACTTGCCTAATATGGGTCAGGGTGGGAGTCCTCAGCTCAGTCTAAGCAACTGCAAACTTGCTTGCCTTCCACACATGCCCTGTCAGAGAATGCCATCTCCATGGCTGAGAGCGAGGGTTCATCCCTGCTCAAAGGACAGGGTGCACGCAGCACTGCACCCAGAGGGTTCAAGAACACAGGAAATACAGAGCACCGGGCTGGGTTCAGAAGACAGATTCCCTGCCACTGCTGGCTCTGTGCCTCAGTGAGCCCATCTTAGTCTCCGTTTCCTCATCTTTCAAATGAAAAAAACAGAAAAAAAAAAATGCTACTATCTAATTGACCACTATAAGGACTGAGATAGAATGCATTAAATAAACCCTGTAAACTATAAACCATTATTCAATGTTTGTAACATTTATGAAAAACAAGGAGCTAGTGATTTTCTAAGGCCTGAAACTCTTAGTTTTCAACATAATTTCTTTAAGCTAAGCAAGGAGGATAAAAAGGTGAAAGACGAAAACATCCTCAGTTCAGCAACCTCCCTGCCCCTCGGGCCCCTCTACCACCAAGGTCCACAGTAGGCAGTAAGAATCGTCAAGCCAGCGGAGAGGCCCTGAGTCTGACGAAGTCCTGCTCCTCCTCCCAGAATGATGAGGGAGGGGCAGTAACAGCTCACTGCCCACAGGACACCTGCAATCCCACACCTCCTCTGTAGACGCTTTTTAAGCCTGCTCCCTCCACTGCCACTTTGGGTTTTACTCTCAGGAGGCGAGAGCCTCAATGTGACTATCACCAACCCTCCTCCCATGGCACTCCACAAGCACCTTCCTAGAACCCGGATCTAAGCACACAGCTCCCCTGAGGCAAGGTATCAAACCCTTCTGGGCTCTCTGCAGCTAAAGGGGAAGGGCCTGAACTCCCAACATCAACTCCAGGTCTCCCATGACCTCACTGCCTCCTACTATTCCATTTTATCATCTGGACCCACTGATAACCCCCAGACACCTGGTGTTCCTGCTTGGACTGCCCCCACCCCCATTTCATCCTCCGCCCACCGCACCCCCCTGCCTTGTACACTCTTACATACACTCCAGACTCATAAGCTTTCTCTCTTCTGGAAGGCCTTCCTGCCTTTCTCCAGACAGAGAACAAGCCTCCTAGCCCTCTGCATTCCTCCAGGGCACCTTGTGCACAGACGGAGAAGAACGATTGACAAGTCTTCTCACTGGCTATGATCAAGTCCTTGGGGATGAGGACCATGCCCAGTGTCCCACAGTGCCTGACACAGCACAAGTAACCACAAATGCATAAATGAGTTCAATATAACAGAACAGGGAGCAAACTAGACAGCAGGACATGGCGTCTCAGGGGCTTAATTTCCTCCTACTACCCTTGGGAATATTCACTGTAGCATTCAGAGGTGAATACGGAGAAGTGACACCTGTGGAGAAGAAACCACCAAGGCCAAACACCTATGAAAAACTGGTGGATGAAACAACAATGTGATATCTCAGATTCTACACCAAATTCCAAGTGACCAGGCTGGGCACAGAGCCTCTGAGGCCTCCAAGGGAGGACAGGAGCCAGGGCATTGCTATAGCAGGGCACATCCCAAGGAACAGAAGAACAAAAGGAAGAAGATGCTCAAGGAAGGACTTCACGCCCTGGCCAGTTGGGCTCAGCGGTTGAGCATCAGCCGGCAGGCCAGAGAGTCCCGAGTTTGGTTCCTGCTAGGGCACGTACCACACACACAAAAAGGAAGGACCTCACAAGGAGAGAGCCGGTGACAAAGGCCAGCTCCGTAACCTCCAGGCACCTGTTCCTCCCTCCTGCACCCCACATGGAGGCCAGTGCCTTGGTGCAGAGTGCAGGACTGTCAGCCGGCAGGCAGCCCTGTGAGGCCGCCAGGTGGGCGTCCAGAAGAGTGAGCCAGCTCCCAGTCAAAGCAAGAGGAGGACCACCCCACACCACCAGCCAGATGACCCCACAGAACACACAGGACCGGGAGATATTTCTGGTCATTCTGGGTCACACGAGAGACAACAATACTCCTCTCCTCGTCTCCAGGTTAACAAAAGGATCACAATGATACTCCTGAATGTTCAGATTTTCAGGGTTCTGGCAAGGTGACCAATTCCCAGGGTAAACTTCTAAAACCTGCTGTTCCTTTGCACACCAGCCAAGCCTCAGGGATCTGTGGGAAATAAATCCTGATGAGAAACACACCCAGAAAACTGGACGTGGTCATGGTACAGGCCCCAAAAGAGAAGAGGACAGCTCAATGTTCAGAGAGCCACGTGGGCAGGTTTTTAGTATACCTGCCCCTCACTGTCTCTGTACCCACCCATGTTCATCTTCCACTTCATCTCCCACTAAGCTCTACCTAGAACTAGGCACCCTTAGGTATACCTAAGAACTCAGTTCTTAAATATTTTAAGCATGAAGGGAAACATTCTATTTCTCTTTTAAAAGCCAAATCAGACCACCACACTAAATCAAATTTCCCTTTCAGTACAGTACCTGATAAGAGTTACGAGGCAGCTTTAAAGTGATTGAGCCCAGGCCTTGCCCTCCTCCGTCTGCCCCGATGCATGGCCTTCCCCAGCACTGACCCTTCCCACATGCCCTTCTCAGCTTCTTCCTGACACCTCAACGTCGTCTTTGAACAGTTAGGTCAAAAGCACAGGGGAAATCTGTCTCCCTAATTCTTCCTCATTACTCTTTGTCCCACCCTGGAGAATAAGCCTGATGATACACAACAGTTTTGGAGAGATGTGAAGACAGGAGTCACGTTCTTGCAACTCTCCTCTTGACTGAAGTACACCCTTGAGGGTCCCTCCATTACCCATGCCACCCTCCTTCTGAGCTTCTGAGAATCCTGGCCATCCTGGTCACTCCCCTCTAATCCTGCCCTAATTTGTCCAACAAAGAGCAATACCTACAAAGAAAAACAGCTCGAAACTGCTCTGTGTGAGTTTTATTAAACTGTTAGTTTGAACCATATGAAATTGCTGACATTGACCACTTCAGATCGAACAAAACTGCAATTCCATATAATTCAACTTAACACCTGTGCGCCATCGACGGTGCATGTTAATCAAAACTGCAGCTGGTTCTTTCCTGCTCTGCCTGCGTGACAGACAAACACGTAGCAGTAAGTACCACTAATCCAAGTCCCCGCCCTCCTCCCAGCCTAGAAACATCACACCAGCACCGCCAGCACCACCAAATCACCTAAGGTACCACCTCAACTTGAGGAGGCAGGCCAGAGTTCCCACTGTGAAAAGCTGTTCAGGTCCACCCACATTTTCCTCTATTTGGCTAAGGTTAGAGTTTCCCCAATAACACAGAACATCTGCAAAGACCCTTTAGAAGAGAATATTGCCGCATACAGGTTTTAGAGGGAAGAAACGTCACAGCCACTGAAGTCCTATCTTCCATAAACCAAGTCCTCCTGAAACATTCAAAGAACAGCTCCTTGGCAAATCACTGCCCTGGATAAAAACCTAGTACTGTAATGTGTAATTCGGTCTTCTCTGTTTTGAGGGGCCTGGGGAGGTGGAGGTGTGAAAATCAGCATGCTCAATATTCTGCCCTGAGAGAACAAACAAGCCATAAATGAACCCCAGCAGAACAAAGAGTAGAAGTTCAAAAATCATCTATATGTAGATGAAACAATCTCAGATGAAACAATCTCTTAGGCAGGAACGTGTGGCTAAACAAAAAAGCTAATGGGGTAACTCAGAGCAGAAATCCTGCCCCAATGAGGGATGATCTCAGTGAGCAATGGCACAGTCAAATACATATAAAACAGGTACTTTAGGGCCATGTAAGGACACAAATGCAGTACAAGGGGCACAACCACCAATGAAAGGACTTCTCAAACCACAAATGGTGGGAAAGACAGACACAAGGGCAAGCACCTGACGGGTGAGCACACACAGCCACTGACGTGTGCAGCAACACGCTCCCCATATGCTCCCTGCAGATGTTACAGAGGAAGTGGAAGCAGGAAAATGAGCAGCAGTAAAGTACAGGACTCCCATCCAAAAAGGACCCTAGAACTCAAGGCTGGCTAGATAAATGTGAATGAAAGAAGTGGGCCATATCCATTGAAGAAAGGATAACATGGCTTCTGTTACAAGGCATTAAGGCTAACCAATACAGGATGGAGGTTATTCGAGGAGTGAATGGCCATGGGAACCAGGGACAGAATGTGCTCAGAGTTTTACTTAAGAGCCTTTGCACTGGAAACTTGGCTTCTGGGCTGCCTAGGAATGGGGGAATACTTCCTCGTGGATATGAGAGCTCATTTAAAACAGGAAAAAAGTATTTCTCTGCCACTGGAGTAGGCTCCAAGGACCAGGCTAAGAATGAGATATACAAATAGTCTGGAAGAGCCAAGTGCACAATGAAATTGCCAGTAAATGGGCTTCAGTGATCAGATTATCCTTCGCAGATAAGAAGCTCTAATTTATCAGCTGTGTCTCAGAAAAAAGGATTTAAGAATCACGGCGATTTTCACTTGAAGGCAAGCAATGTAATGTAGAAAAGTTAGCTACAACACTAAAAAAGGAAACTTAGGAATCATTTTGGCGGGGAGGAAATACATGCTCCATTTTTTAATTTTTAAAATCAAGAACAATGTCTTCAGGGTACTGACTACATTCTAGGAGAGATGACCAGGGCATGGAGTTTTCCCAAGAATGGATTCTGGAAAAGCCTGTAGACTTTGTACACAGTCCAGTGATTTTCACTGGTATTGACAGCATATTTTACATATCATTCTCATTACTATTGACAGCATATTTGATAGGCATGCTTGCTTTGAAAAGCAGTCTTTTTAAAGCTCCATGTAAGTTGTCCTTAGCCTAGCTATAAAACCAGGGCCTATACTTGGGACATGCCAAGTCCCATCAACCTCCTGGGGCCCAATGAATTATTTAGAAGCTAATAGTCATGGAAACAAGCTGTCACAGGCCACTAAGAAGGGCAGTCTCAGAAACAGCCTCCCATGGAGGCTCTGCCATGAATAACAAGTTTGTCCAGAAGCAGGGCTGCCCCTTGGGCAGCTCTGTGCCAGGGTGAAAACAGAGCTACACAACAGAGGGGCTGCAGGCAGGGCCAGGCATGACTCCTATGAGGAAAACACTAACACGGCTACAGGAGATGGGGGGCAGGAAGGCATAGGTGTGTTTGCAAGCACACTATTAAATGTCTGCTGTTTTCAGCTGACCTAATGAATGTCAGATTTTAGTTAACTCAACTTTTTAATTTGTTTTCTTTATTGATTTTGAGAGGGGGGGGGGGAGAGAGAGGGAGAGAGATAGAAACATCAATGAGAGAGAACACCGACTGGCCGCCTCCTGCATGCCTCCCACTGGGGATCTGGCCCACAAGCTGGGCATGTGCCCTGACCGGGAATCAAACCAGTGACCTCTTGGCGCATGGGTCGACACTCAACCACTGAGCCACACCGGCCAGGCACTAACTCAACTTTTTTTATCATTCCCCATTATACCATCTTGGGACTAGCACTAACAAGTTATGTGGCTTTGGGTAAATTAACATCTCTGAACATCAATTTCCGCCTTTGTAAAACAGGAAAAACCAGTATTAGTGCTTATATCTCACAGGGCATGAGAGAATTAAATAAGATAACATAAGTAAATAATAGAGTGCCTGGTTTATAATAAGTGTTCTACAAATACAGATTATTATTACTACTATTAATAAAATAAAGTAAAATAAATACTAACCCTAAACCCCAAGCAGGTGAAACCTGCAGATGGCAGGCCAGAGCCTTTCCAACTAGCTATGGCCAGAGCTGCCCCTGGGCCACTCACAATAAAAGGCTAACATTTACTAGCATGCTCCACCGTGAGTTTCCCGCTTCCAGCTGCTCCTGTGTCCTACCGGATTCTAAAAACTGGGGAAGAAAGAGACCATCACAGCAAAGGCCAAAGTCATTTTTTCCTAGCATACTTGCTGGTTTAAAGGACATAAAGACATTCTAATTGGTAGAGTTTTCAAAAAGCCCTATCCTTTTGCTCTGAATGATCTCCTCTCTCTCACTGAAACACCTCTCTGGACTATCCTGTCACAGCCTCATCTTTTACCTCCCCCCACTTCTCCGCATCATGACTTCTTTCTGTTTAGAACGGGGACAAAACCGCACGGAAGTGGCAGTGGAGAAATTATGTTCTGACAGCAAAGAAGGCAGCAATTCAATACTAGTCCATTTTTTAAAATGTTGGTTAAATTATGAAAGAAAACCAGTTTACCTGACCCTGAAGTAACTACAAACTGCTGTAACCCCAGATAAACGTCTAAATTGTCCTGTAGAACTGGGAACTGAAAACAAAGAAACAACAATTAAAAAAAAAAAACATACATGTGAGTTTTAACAGCATTTTACCATTGAAACAGTACAAGCACCTATGGGGGCAGGGGCAGGATAAAAACTTTTCTCTGGGAACCTTTACATGCCCCTAAGAAGAGGTAGCTCCCCTTACACTTAACAGTTTCTACAATCTCAACCATCATCAGTTTGATGCTTTTTAAAAACAAACAGTGGATGCTGGGTATGATTATGTTCCTAAAAGAGGACATCAAGCCCCAAAATTACCTGATCCTTTCAGAGTTCTGAGACAGACCTATCTCCCTACAGGTCCAAGATAAACCCTGCCCTTGAGAGGAACACAGAGAGGCCTTCCTTAGAATGCATGACAAAGTGGAAAGACAGGCTGAGTTATCTGGAAGTTACATTCCCTCTTCATTCAGCAGACGGGCTCTTCATAACCAGAGCTGTGTCCTTTCTAAATGCTAACTCACCACTAAGATAAAGGTAAACCTTGACTGTGATAGATCCCTAAGAAAGTCAGATGACAAAATGCACTCTCCACAGGAAAACACAAGATACAGCGGGGTTGTGCAGTGCAAAGCTGACCCCAGTAAACTATCTTGCCTTTGAAGAGAGATAGGTTTAATAAAATCTCCTCAAAAAAACAAGTACCACTTAATCAGTGAAATCAGTCCTATGACTAAATATTCTAGCACATAAATATAGCAGAGAGTGGCAGCCATTTGCCAAGACTAAGCTTTACAATGGCTCGCTTTTCAACAATGTAATTCATATAAATTATCTTCTATTTGGCCTGGCCACTTTCGAGCTACTGATGAAGGAAGGCATTAGTAAGGTTCACATTATATACAAGAGTTTAGAAAAGAAAAACAGGGCTTCCAGAAGTTGGTCTGAAGTATTCTGGGAAAATGTTAACATCTGATCAATTTGAGGGTCGGTTACAGTAATTATTATTCCCTGTTTAGAAAATTCTATAACACCAGTGAGCAAAAAAGCCTTCCTGCTCACACAGGGAAACCATTAGGCCCTCGTCCCCTCCAAGCGGTGAGTTACCAGTGTTGAGAAGGCGTGTGTGGGAAGGAGCTCCATCACTTTGGCCACGACTTCCAAGCTCTGGCGTAAGTACCGCTGCCACTCTGTCTGCTGCTGCAGGGGAAACACAGAAGGGTCAGCTCTCCTGACAGGCCAATCTGTCCTCAGCCTCAAGTCCACTCACTCTCAGACATATATTTTGAAGAAATGACAAATGATGGGACCAGGTTATTTGGTACTTTAAAAAGGCCAAGCTAAAATATGTTTTTTACATCCAATAAATTAATGTCATTAAAAGCTTTTTCTTAAGAAAAAGGTAATCCATGAAAATGACCCACTTTCCCCTACAATCACAGGAACAGATAGAGGAGCCACTTGTGAAATGCTCGCGTCCCCTTTAAGTCATCCCAGCTATAGGAACTGGTCACTCATTCCTTCGGAGACAGTCCAGCACTGCATTCCGCAAGTTAACTAAGTCAGTGCACTTTAGTATGGTCTACAGACGGGCAGCATCGGCATGTCCTGGGGATTGTTAGATATGCCAATGTTATGGTCCCCACCCCAAACCTTCTGAGTCAAATCTGTTCCACATCTGTGCCAAATCTGTTCCACATCTGTGCCAGTGACTCTTATCCATGCTAAAACACCAGAGGCACCGGCCTAGGTCATACAGTTAATAAGAAGAGAAGCCTAAGTTTACCAAGCACCTTGTATGCACCAGGCATGTAGCCATTCCTTCCGCCTGTTACCATCATAAAACTGTCAAAACAGACATACCACCCCCTTTGGGGAGATGACAAAATTAAGGCTCAGAGAATTCAACACCTGGACCTCTTGTCTCCTTCAAGGCCAAGGTTACAGAGATTCAAATCCAGGCCATCTGGTTCCAAGAACAGGGCTCTTTCCAACCCAAACAAGGCTACCCTCAAAGGTCTTGACTATGCCCTGGTCACTGCTGTTTTGAAGTGATAGCAGGGACTTGAAAATTTTGAAGTGCATGGTGGTTAAGAAAAAAGAACACTATAGAGTTGTGTCCTTAAAAACATTTTCCTTATTGATGTGGGCACACCAGCAACAATAAATTCAAAATCAATTTTAAGAAATATCAATTTATAAAATGTACTCAAAAGAAATTTCCTTTCATTCTAGCCTTATCATTTAAGTAGCTCTTTAACTATTTCTACCAGCATTCAACCAGCTCTTATTTGTTGCCAGAGTGAGGAGTGGAGGTGTGGGTGCCAGGCAGGGGAATAGGAGGAATAAAGAGTTCTCATTAAACCACTTTTCATGTACATATTTACTTAACTTACCATCTCTAGTCCATATAGATAAAAATAACTGTAAAATAATTTTTTTAACATTTTTCCATTTTTTGTTCAGATAGAGCGGGAGGGGGAGAGAGAGAGAGAGAGAAACAATATGAAAGGGACACACGAGTGGCTGCCCCCCGCACGACCCAACCAGGGCCAGGAACAAACTGCAACCGAGGCACATGCCCTTAGCGGGAACCGAACCCCGGTCTCTCTGGACCGCAGGCCGACGTTTCAACCGCTGAGCCAAACCAGCCAGGAGTGTAAAACTTTTTTTTTATGAACCCAAAGAGATTGGCAGGATAAATTTCAAATGAACAATTCAAACTGTTAAGACTCCTCTGGCTAAAAAATAGTCCCCAGAGCAGAGGGCTGAACGGTTCTGAGCCCCCACATCGATTCACGCAACATGACAGTGATTAAAGGCCAATCAGGGGGTGCTGCTTACGTCGTCATCCAGAGTCTCGTCATCCAGCTCCTCCAACTGGGCCTGGTTGTATCTGAACTGGATTCGATTCAACACCTCCGTGAGCAAGAGGACTAGGGCATCTTCGTACCTGTGTGGAAGGGAGAAATTCAACATCAGGTGAAAACAGGCTTTTAGCCTAGAATTTCAAAAAGGCTTCCTGCACTGTGAAAAAATGGTGTCTGTGTTGAATTACCATATACAAAAGGAGCATCTAAACTAAACTTAGTTTATGGGTTGGCAAGGGTATATGTGAGAGTGGAACAGTAGCAGGGGTATTTCTTTTTTCTTTTTTTTAAATCCTCACCCGAGGATATTTTTCCATTTATCTTCAGATAGAGTGGGAGGGAGGGAAGAAGGGAGGCAGAGAGAGAGAGAAATATCAATTGGTTGCCTCCCGTATGACCCCGACCAGGGCCAGGGACGAACCGCAATAGAGGTATGGAATCGAACCCATGACTCTTTGGTCCGCGGGCTGACGCTCTAAACGCCGAGCCAAACTGGCCAGGGTGGGGGCACTTCTTTATTTAACTATGTTCCAGGCACATTCTTTTTTTTTTTTTTATCCTCACCCGAGGACACTTTTCCATCTTTTGTTTAGATATAGTAGGAGGGAGAGAGAGGAAGAGAGAGAGAGAAACATCGAAGTGAAAAGGACACATCGAGGGGCTGCCACCCGCATGACCAACCAGGGCCAGGGACCAAGGCACACGCCCCTAGCGGAAACCGAACCCGGGTCTCTCCGGACCACAGGCCGACGCTCCAACCGCTGAGCCAAACCAGCCAGGGCTCCAGGCACATTCTTCTCCAGGCATATTCTTGATGGAGTGACCCTTTTACCATCATATAATGTTCTTCTTTGTCTCTGTTAGCAGTTTTGTCTCCAAGTCTATTTTGTCTGATATTAGTATAGCCAACCCGACCTCTTTTAGTTATTGTTTGCATGAAATATCTTTTTCTATCCTTTTTATTTCAACCTATCTGTGTCTTTGAAACTAAAGTGGGTTTCTTGTAGACAATATGTAGTTGGACTATGTTTTTCTTTTTATTTGTTGTTGTTTTTTGAGAGAGGGGAAGGGAGAGGAAGAGAGAAAGAGAAACATCGATGTGAGGTGGCTGTCTCCTGCATGCCTTCCATGGGGGATCAAGCCCAAAACCCGGGCACGTGCCCTGACCCGGAATCAAACCAGCAACCTTTCGGTGCATGGAGTAACATCCAACCAGTTGAGCCACACCAGCCAGGGCCAGACTGTTTTCTTAATCCATTCTGTCAATTTCTGCCCTTTATCTAGAAGCTAATCCTTTACATTTAATATAATTAATAAGGAAAGACTTACTTCTGATATTTTGCTATTTGTTTTCTCTATGTCATATCTTTTGTTCCTCAATTCCTCCATTTTGTGTTAAATAGACATTTTGTGTGTGTACCATTTTAATTCCCTTGTCATTTCTTTTACTGTGTATTTTTGAGTTATTTTCTCAGTGGTTGCCCTGGGGATTACAGGTACTACCTATAAATATCAATTAATTCAATGATTCAATCCGTTTAACAACTGTGAGAGGTTAAGTGGTATTAACGGCATTCTTCTGATAAGAAAATTACAGTTGACAGAAGTTAAATAAATTGCCCAAGGTCCCAAAGCTAGCTATTTCAACCCAGGACTCCCTAACTCAACACCCCATGCTCTCTCTACAATAACCCATCAATGGGGCTTTAAGCTTACCCCATCCACTTCCCTAAATGTATTCTTTTTGTTTTCTTTAAATGTTCACTGATTGTTTGGGGGCGAGCGGGAGAAACCATTGATGTAAGAGAAAAACATCAACTGGCTGCCTCCTGCATGCGCCCTGGCCAGGAATAGAACCCATAACCTTTTTGGTATACAGGACGGCGCTCCAACCAAGTGCGCCACCCGGCCAGGGCTCCCCAAACCTCCTCTTTAGTCAACTTTAAGGACACTTATAACCTATGGAAAGAGCCTGGGGAAACCCTGATGTGTTGATCTACATCTAAGCATAACTTCTCACAGAAACATTTTGGAGCCCGAGGCTTGGCTATTGCTCAAATGTGATAAGAACTTAACTCAGAAGACATCAGTTATAGACAATAGTTGCTAACTAACACAAGGGCCAACAAACCACTAATTTTCAAGACTAAATCATGTTGCCTCAGTTCTTGCCTGCCCTGAAATGTTTCTCAGATAGGTTCAGAGATTGTTCCCACTCATAACGTAAACCATCATGCTGGCCATTCAGCTCTCAGTGCCAACCTAGCCTCCAGACCGTGTGATGCCAGAGCTGAGATTACGCAAAGCACATTTCTCCTCGGCCCATTGGGCTCTGTCAACAGAATGCAGGGGAACACAGGAAGGCAAAGGAGGGGCTTGCTGTCCAGGCAGTGTCACCCCAACAATGGTCACCTGGCAATAATGACTGTTCCAGTTTCCCGCGCCCACACCCCAGAACCAGCCTCATCATGCACTCTCAGAAGTTCCAGCAGCAGCCGGGCTATTCCCTCTCCTCGGAGGACTGAGTCCCAGCCCCTGGGCCCCTTCCAGAGCTCCTGTGGCAGCAGGTGGTTCTCAGTCCACAGGGGTGTGAGCTCTAGCTACCTGGGTCCATCCCTCTGATGTTCTAGATTTCATAACCCCAATGTCTTTCCTTTGTACCCCTCAACTCTGGGTGGAGCTGCTTCCTATAGTTATCATCTGTTATCTCAGGGTTCCCCTTTTGCTTTTCCAGTCCTCTAAAACCAGTTTCCTACACTGAATCCTTAAAATAATTAAGTGTAGTTTCTCTTTTCCTGGCAGAACTCTGATAAACCACCTGGTCTATATAGGTAACAGGACACTATAAGCAAATCTGAAAGGTATCCAATGCCAAGATTAAATATAGTCATATGGTCTAAGAGTTACGACTCATGTGATGACACTCCATAGAGTCAGAGTCTAAAGACTACTTCAAAATCCTCCTGTCACATCTCAGAGTTTCATGGGCACAAGGCTGCCAAACCTTCCCCTCAACAGTCAGTACCCCAGTGTTTGTAAATGACTTCACAACCTAGATTAGACTGGGAACTAATCATGACCCAGAAAGACACACTGGCAGGGAAATCACAAATAAAATAGACAACATCCGTGGGGAAAATTGTCAAGAGAATCAAAACCCCACCTCAAGAGACTTCAGAGAAAGGTAAGATCAAACACTTGAGCCTGGAGTTTATGTTCACCGTTTGCTCAGGTCATCAACTGCTAAGGTTATAGAAGTTTCATGCTATAATTTGCTATGACAAACCAAAACATTTTCACAATTCCACTAGGAAAGAAAATCCACTTCAGACCAGAGGACAGATAAAAATCTGTCATCTGTAAATTCTCTTGTTGCACTAAAAGGGAATTTAAAAACTTTGAAGGTATTTAAAGACTACAGAAAAGTAATAAAAGTTTAGTGGAGGCATAGGGTGGGGATTTAATATAACAGGACTCGTGCCCTTCTGTGAAGAGGAAGTGACAGGCAGCACATGTATGCTCCCCCTCTCCCCCCATGCAAGCACAGAAGAAAGCATGTGAGGACCAAGAAAGAAGACAACATCTGCAAGGCAGGAAGAGGGTCCTCGCGAAAACTGCATCAGCCAGCACCCTGATCTGTGACTTCTAGTCTCCAGAACCGTGAGAAAGTAAATCTGTTGTTTAAGCCACCCAACTGATGGTCTTTTGTTATGGCAGACCTAGCTGATTAATACGGAAAGAAACCTGGAACTTCAAGAATGAAGAAAAAGCAAGAGAACTGGCAAAATGTGTGGGAAAATGCAACAGACTATTTTTCTCCTGTTAACATCTTTTAAAGATGAATGATGAATGAAAGCAAAAACTGAACATTGTCTGATGAGGTTTTGCATGTTCACAGATATTAAACATATGACAACCTCAATAAAAAGAAAAGAGAGTAAAGGTTTCCACATTACAGTTGAAGTGATAAAATGTTAGTGGAAAGTAAATATATTGCAGCACCAGAGCAATTACTAAAAAAAAAACTCATATAATGAGTTACGGTCAAACACTCAACAGATACATTGAAAAGGAAAACTAAATTTGTGTACAACTAACACAGTCTCAAACGAAGCAAAAGCTGATGGAACTGGAGAGACAAATCCAGTTACACTTGAAGAGCTCACCTCTCAAGTTACTGATAGAACAAGCAGGATAAAGACAACATGCAGTATAAAATCAACCAACCTGACCTAACTGACACTTATAAAACACTTCACCCAACAACAGGAGAATACACAATCTTTTCAAGTGCAACAATCACCAAGAGGACTAGGTCATAAAACAAACCATAATACATTTTTAAAATGGAAATCACACAAACTACATTTGCAGCTCAAAATAAATTAGAAAATAATAACAAGATATATAGAAAATCTCCACATATTTGAAAATTAAACAGAGGAAATCTCAAGAGAAATTTAAAAATACACTAAACAGCCCTGGCCTGTGTTGCTAAGTGGTTAGAGCATCATCCCCTGCACTGAAGGGTCATGGGTTCAATTTCCGGTCAGGGCACATACCCAGGTTGCAGGTTTGATCCCCAGTCAGAGCACATGCATGAGGCAATGGAACAACATTTCTCACATCAATGTTTCTGTCTGTCTGTCTCTCTCTCCCCACCCCACCCCCGACCCCTGCTCTTCTCTCTCTAGAATCAATGAAAAACATATCCTTAGGTAAGGATTAAAAATATTTTTTTAAATACACTAAACAATGAAAAGGAAAAGAGAACACACTAGAATTCGGTGGATAAAGATAAAGCACCACTCAGGGAAATTTATAGCATTAAATGTTTAATTATATAATAGAGATAAACCTATAGACCTATATGGCTCAAGCCACAAATGTGATTACAAAAGCATCCCAACTTCTGAAAGTTAAATAGAATTCTACATGTTAAGGCAACTACACAGTAGGTACTCAGTAAATATATGAGAAATGAAAGATGAACAACGAAATAAACACTTAGGTAATAAACAGACAAAACTCCAAATCGGATAGCTACAAAGGACTGAAGCACAATCCCGGAGAGCTTTATCAACTTTGTAATAAAATAACCAAGACCTCGGTCATTTGCTCTCTGGGAAAGTCAAAGGCATGAGTTTCTCTTAGCAGGAGCTAGAAAGCTACTAGAGTCTTGATTTAAATTTAGTTAACACCTTTTATTAACTGTATCAAAATATCATGTGTCATAATGGCATTTCCTCTTTATTAAGCAGAAAACCCACGCAGCAAAAAAAAAAATAATATATATATATATATATATGGCAGCCATTTTTCTCACGCTCACCCCCTTTTGTTTACAGTCCACTCTAGTGTCACCCGGAATCCCTGGCTGGCCTCTGGCCAGCACTTGTCCGTAGTCTCATGACAAAGGGGTTCACAAGTCATGACTCAATAACTTTAGGTTGCTTAACTCACTTCAGGTTTCCTCATCTTCCTGTAAAAATAAGTTTCTACAGAGAAGGCAGATCCCTTCACATTGACAAGCACATAGCAAAACAGAGTGAGAGAGGGAAAGGGAAGAAAAACAAAACATCTTTACTGTGCATTTGCTCTCAGCCAAGATGCTTTACAGACACTGGTTCACTTAATTTTCTCAACAATTTATAAGGCAGGTATAACCATCCACAAAGAATAAATGAGGAAAAATAGATAAATTCAGGTCTTTCCACACCATCTCAAAATGGCAAATCTGAACAATGAACCTCAGCAGCAATTCTGTTCAGCCGAGTATGTTACAGAATTTTTATTCCATTAACACTGGGATTCAAGTCCTCTAAAATCCCCACCAGCTTTAATCAAGAAGCTCTTGAGCATTCTCACTGAGCTAAACATGCAGAGCTCCAATTTCTAAGCTCCTAAGACCAAAAATAAATCCATGTACATTTGTGCTTCTAAATTTGTAGCCTATAATGCCTGCCACATTGTTGTGATGAATGATGCAAACCTTTAACCACAGGGGACAGGAACTCAGTGCTGCCTCTGTGACTTAACCACACCTACATTTCCCACTTAAGACACTGAGAAAACATTCTTGACTATTTCCTGCAAGATCAGTTGCTTCTGAAATTCTGGCTCAAACCACAAGTGTGATTCCAAAAGCACCCCAACTTCTTTCAGATAGATTTTACCAGTTGAAAACATGTGACCACCTTTATAAGCTCCTAGGTAAAATGAATGGGGTGACTACCAGTAGCTAGTGCTCGCCATCGGCTGCCGCTGCAGGACAGTGCACTGGGATATATTGGGGTCTTTTATAACCTAGTACAGTGGCTACCAAACTTTCAAGACTTTCATTTAAACACTTTTGAGCACACACTTGTATAAATGTATAGTGTAAAAGGTAACAGATAAAACATATCAGTTAAAGTCCAACTTTTTTCTTTGTAGACTACCTTACATACCCTTCTAGACCACCAAGGGGTATATGATCAACAAGCAGCTCTTCAGACGATGGTTACTCATAAACAGCATAAACGACAGACCACCTCTGAAGGTTTGGGGTTTGGGTATTTTTGTTTTTAAAGGCATAAAAGTATTCTAAGTGTAAGCTTTGAAAAAAGTCATGAAAAATTAGAAAGCCTCATTTCTCAAATGATCAATGAGAAAATTCCCTACTGTTAAAAATGGTCAGCCAAAACCACTGACAACTGTGATATCAGATGACAGGTGCCTGAGCAGACCAGTCAATATCAGCAAGGAAGGCTAAAAAGGCCTTTATGCTGTCCAGGGAACCTGTCACTTAACTCTGTGGTCACCACCATAGCCAAATGGCAGCAACATCATCTATTATTATTATTACTGTTGGGGTCATCACTATGATCATTTACTGAGTGTCTAATACACGCTAGGTGCTGTGCCAGGGGTTGTACATACACGATTTTATGGACCCCTAGCCATCCTTCAAGACAGGTATTAGTATGCTAATTTTGCAAAAGGAAATGTGGTCAGCATATATATAACCTGACCAAAAGTATGAAATAGAAAAAGAATTGAAACTCAACAGTACTGTTCCTTCCACTGAACAGTAATGTGCCTAAGTGTATATTTAACAGTAATAATCTGTTAGTGTACCTTTTCTCAGTGAAACTACAATCTCCACACCTGAGACACCCCTGTACTCTACTTTAAAAAGCATTTCAATATTAATCATCTCCCCAGTTTATTCTCCCAACAAGCCTGACAGACATGAAAGAATATCTACCACTAAATATAGCAAACTCAGGCATAGTCCCAGGACCAAAGCATGCCACTGCTGAGCATCCAAGAAAGAGAATTTGGTGGAAGTACTTTTCCTTTGGAGAAATTTCATTCAAAACACAATTACTTACAGTAGACAAATTCACCAAAAACAGGATCTACTGTTGTGTAATAAGGTTTCTGATACATGAATAAACTACCAATAACCATATGTAACCTGGCACCATAGCAACTTGGAAGCTATTCTGCAATCACAAAAATAATGTTTGGGAACAAAAGTGCAAATGTTTAAACTTGAAATGCAAATATTCTGTTTATAATTTTAAAAGCTTATAAAACCTCAGCAATGGAAAGGGTTTTAGAGGTTCAATCCAAACTCTTACCAGATGGGATGCTCCTCACCACCATTGTTTGGCACTTTCTGGGGAAGGTGTGTTCACAATCTCCACCACCAACCACTGATACCACTTACTAAGCATCTGTGACAAACAATTCGCTCTGGCCAGTTTGGCTCAGCAGTTAGAGCAGTGCCAAGCATTCTAGATACATTAGCTCATTATTTCATTTCTGACACGAAATAATGACCCCAGTGTACAGTAAAAAAAATACTTTACCTGCAAACCAGAAAAATGAACTTGAGAAACATGGGGGGAACACATTTCCCCATTTTCTACTTTTAAAAAATACAAAATTAATTATCTCTGGATTATGGATAACTTATGTTCTTTATATCTTCTATCTTTTCCTGGTTTCTAAGATAAATATTTTTTATGACAAGTATTTATTATCTTATTTAGGAAATTTTCAAAGACGTACAAAAGATGTAAGAATATAATGAACTCCAAGTTCCTATCAACTAAGTTCAATATCAATTATCAACACATGGCCAACCCACTTCCCTCTCTATTCCCAGTGGATTATTTTAAAGCAAATCCCAGATGTCATATCATTTCATCCAATAAAATGCTTCAGTAAATGTCATTAAAAAGAAAACAATACAAAGCATTATCACACCTAAAAAATTAACCATATATTACTTCTTTAATTAGAAAAAATGTTTGCAGAAAATGAGATATTAAGGGGAAAAAAGAAGAAGAAAATACTCAATAACATACTACCTAAACAGCTTGTGTGAGTCAGTTTCACTAAAGAGGTCTGGCTACATGGTTGACCCTTTAGGTCGTAAGAAAAACTGGCCAAAATGTCTATTTCTAATTATCAATGTTACTGGGTTTACCTGTTGAGAACTGCTTCTTTGTCTCCCAGACGACTTTTAATTTTACTTGTCAGATAGTCCAAAAAGAGCGTCCAGATATCCAAACAAGAGAAGTAACCTTCATGAGTGGGCTATGGTGCAAAAGAAATCCAGACAATGAAGTTACTTAATGCAAATATTCCTTAGAAACACACCCACCAGTTTACTTCTACCAGAATGTTACAACCATAAGCCTAGATTCCCTCAATTTCCCAGTAACCACACTGTGTCTTAGTCACTCTTCACAATTAGGTCCCGTTGATGCTAACTAGACAAGAGTACCATGAAACACATCATTAGGGAGATACTATGTGGGACAAAACAAGTAAGCCAGGCGAACACCTATCTTAAAATCTAAGGCTGTGGTGAGGAGGACTCTTACAGATCATTTAACTCAAATCTGTTTATAGAGAAACAAATTCTGATCCAGAGACATGATTCATTCAAGGTCAGGGGAGGAGCAGCAAATGCTCTTTCCACTAATACCATTACAAAACTGAAAAGAAGTTTCAGTGGCTCCAAAGGTGCCAAGTTTACACACTTGAACATTAGGAAAGGCCATTTGCAATCTTCCTATATAACAGATTGAAAATGAACTTAAGTCTGACTCTCAGGCATTATCTCATCTACAAAAGTAGGCTAACAGCAATCTCTAACCCAGTGTTGACAAGGACAAACAGAAGAGAAGACAGTCTTTGTGGGGTCCTGGTGCTGGACCATTTGCGTGACTACACTGACAAACTCTCTCAAGAGCTTTGAGCTTCCACTTCACACAAAATCCAGACATTATACTCTCCACCATCTCATCCTTCTCGTACGTATTCAGTTTCAACTTTTGGTTCTCTAATCCCTTACACATCCACTCAAATTCTTGCTACCTACAAGAACTCTTTGGTTTTACTTGTGATCTCTTGATTGAACCACATAATTGGTGGCAAGAACAGATGTGGAAAGCAAGAAAACCATCATCTTGGATCCGTTTTCCTTCCATTTCTGATCCACAAAGAAATCCAGAAGTTTACATGACAATGTATGGAATTTGCTGAAGGAATAACTAATATTGGGTGGTAGCGTGCAGTGGGAGTTCTGTGCCCAGGATGAGTCTGAGACAGAAAACTGTAACTTAAAACACAGCAGACTCCAAGACAAACCACCAGACAGCCCTGGAACTAGATGGCTGCAGTGCACTCAGGACCACAGAGAGGCCCATCCTCAGAAAACAGAGAGAGAGCTTCCTATCTCCACTTCAGACTTCACACATCCCAGATGTCCATGACATGAAATTAAGCAGACGAATAAGCAGGAAAAACAATTGGCCCTGGCCAGTTCGTCTCAGCAGTTAGAGCGTCAGCCTGCGGACCAGAGTCCTGGGTTCAGTTCCCACTAAGGGCACATACCTCAGCTGCAATTTGTCCCCGGCCCCGGTTGGGATCGTGTGGGTGGCAACCAGTTGATATGTCTCCCTCACATCAATGTTTCTCTCTCTCTCTTCCTCCCTCTCTCCCTCCCACTCTATCTGATGATAAATGCAAAACTGTCCTCGGGTGAAGTAAAAAACAAAACAAAAAAACAATTGATAAGCCATGTGGGAATAAGATGGGCAACTGGTAGGCGCAGGCACTTGACTTGCCCAGCCAGAAGATGTGGTCTTGTCCTGGCTTTGGTTTGCGGAGTTTCCCTTAAGTCACCCAGCTGTCCTTCCATGGTGTGAAAATACTCACTGGCCCCCTCCGAAGAACATAACTGATCAGATGCATGTGAAAGTGCTTTTGAGAAAAGCCACCACATAAATCCAAGTTTTATGGTAATGTCAAAGTACTTTATAATTATACACATCTTCCCCATGCCTTTGAATTGAAGATTTACTATGCATCTCAAGGCTGGAAAAAAAGGTGGGCAAACATACCCTCTGTAAGGCCTGAAACACTGCCACTCACATCCACACATACAGGCCCCACTGTGAGATCTTGTGCCCTGCCCACATCTGGCCTTCTACAACTGCTGTGGGCACAGATCAGTAAGGTCATAAAGATGATAGGCTGACTGCACTGTCAGTCTTCCAACTTTTCAGAACCCTCACAGATCCATTTTAAAAATGTACCTGTACTCAAATTTACTTCTCTGATTCCAGGGATAATTAATCAACTGAAGATTCAGATAAGTTTCCTTAAGAAACTAACGCTACCACTCTTGCCCTGGCCGGTTTGGCTCAGCGGTTACAGTGTCAGCCTGTGGTCCAGAGAGACCCAGGTTCAGTTCTCGCTAAGGGCACATATCTCGGTTGCAGTTTGTCCCCAGCCCTGGTTGGGTGGTGCGGGTGGCAGCCACTTGATGTGTCCCTTTCATGTCAATGTTTCGCTCTCTCCTTCTTCCTCTCTCCCTCCCACTCTATCTGAACAAAAAAATGAAAAAAAAAAAAAAAAGAAACTAATGCTACCACTCTTATCTGCAAGTGGTTTGCAGTGGTTAGTTGTCATTTGCATGATCTTCACAATAGTCCTGAAAACTGGACAGATATATTTTCCTTCTTCCCATTTTACAGATAAAGAAGCCAAGGCTCAGAAGTTACTTGCCCAAGGTGACAAGGTAAGGAACAGAAACAGACAAGCCTCTGGTCCAGAGCCCTTTCCCACCCCCATGCCCATAGTATCTCAGAGTTTTAGGAAGAAGGGGCAAAATGAAAAATGCAAGACCAAGAAGGAATTGATGACAGCACAGCAAGAGGAGCAGGAAGACAGGAAGTGTTTGCTTAGACGCAGACAGCCCAGGGCCTCAGAAAGGGAAGGGACAGTGGCAAACACCTGCTGAGCACCAATGGCTGGAGGGCTGCAGCAAGACACTTGTGTGAGAGAAACAACGTAGGAAAAAAATAGAAGAGAGGACTGATAAAAGAATGATACTAACACCATCTTTATCTTATTGCTATTCTTTCAAAGTATGTTTACCAGTATTAAACTTTCATGAATTTTAGAAAAAGGCAAAAATATTGACTATATCCATAATCCCCTCTAGACAAGAGGAAAGACACATTTTCACACTTTACAGATAATTAAACTATGATAAAGCAAGTTCACAATGTTAGTGAGTAGATGAGAACTTAAAGCTCTCTCTAGAGAGCATTTGATGTCTTCCTCTTAAATCTTATCCAAAAAAACTCCCCTACCACCAGCTCCTGATCCTGGAGTGCACCCTGACATCTCTTCTCCACTTCTCTCCAGCAAAGAGCTGCCACCCTACAGTCAACGGCACAGAGCACCTTCCAGGTTCCTGCCCCTCTGCCTGATGCTCGGAATCTGCTTCTGCCCAGATCTAGAGGACACCACAGTCCAAGAGCCTGCACCCAGAAAGAAAGGGTCTCACACAGAGGCCAAGAAGGGAGCTTGGCTGACACACACCTGCAGGTAAAGGAGGAAGAAACTCATTGTTTGTCTCATTACCATATCTATTTCTTTTCCCAATATATAAATAATATATATGCATGTATACAAAAATACCACTTTCACACATATACACAATGGAATACTATGCAGCTGTAAGAAAGAAAGATCTCTTATCCTTTGAGACAACATGGAGGGACCTGGAGAGTATTATCCTAAGTGAAACGAGCCAATCAGAGAAAGACAAATATCACATGATCTAACAAGCTGATGAACAAAATAGACCCAGAGACATAGAAGTAGGGTACAGACTGACAAACCTCAGAAGAGGGGGTAGGAGGGGAGGGAAGAGAAACCACAGAACTTATATGCAAGTATGGGTAACCATGGACACAGACAACAATGCTGGGGGAGGGGGAGGGGCGAGATTGGGAGGAGGGTGTCAATGGGGGAAAATGGAGTAACAAAAATTTTAAAAATAAAACTATCACTTTCAGTTCAATGGAAAACTAACAGGTAGGATTCTAGTGAAAGAATCATAAAAAATGAACACTGGGAAAGAACCTGAAGATACCCACTACAGTCGCTCTCCTTTCATGAGGAAACTAAAATCAAAGGAAATTAAAAGACTTTGCAAGGACACAGACTTAAGAGAAACAACCAGAGCTCAACACAGAACTTTTGAGTCCAAATCCAAAGAAGTAATCCTGAGACATGCACACTCTAACACATTTTTATATAGCTTTGTTATATACCATATATACTGAAAGATCTCTTTATACATAGGGAGCAAAATTGCAAGACATTTTCATTCCATTTTCCCCAAATAGACCCCTTCTTTCTGATGTCAGCACTGGTTCCTTCTCTCTCTTTTATTTCTGCTACACTTATCCTAAGCTATCTATGAAATCCTTTTTTTTCCCTGGTCCCCTTTAAAATTTCTCTGGACCTGTCTCAAAACTTTCCCACCTCTGATGCCTTTTTGCTTTGCACATCCTCACCCTCCTATATCTCACATCACCTTTTCTATTCCTTTTTGGGCCTGGTGAGCTCAGCATGTTTCCCCTTGCTCTGCACTCACTGGCCCGTCAGACCTCCTGACACTTCCTCAACCTCTGGTCATCTCCTTCCACCTGCACCCTTCCCTGTTCCCAAGCATGGTTCACCCTTACCACTGGGTGCTCTGACTTATGTGCCAAGTACCTCTTTGAGAAAGGTTAGTTCAAACACTAAATTCTTACTTCAAATCCCCTATCCCATACACACACACCTCCCAGCCCAGACCCTTACCACTCCTGTAGCCTCATTAAGCTACAACATTACTGGTTTAAACAACCATAAAAGTCTCCTTATAAAATCAGATGCTCTTCACTGACAATTTCATCCATAGTATATAGCAGCAGAAAGAGCTACATATGTACACCAAAAAATGTGCATAAAAATGTTCACTGCGGCCTGGCCAGTTTCGCTCAGTAGTTGGAGCATCGACCTGCGGAACAGAGAGTCCCAGGTTCGGTTCCCACTAAGGGCACGTACCTCTGTTGCGGTTCGAATCCGGCCCAGGTTGGGGTCGTGTGGGTGGCAACCACTCAATGTGCCTCTCTCACATTGATGTTTCTCTCTCTCTTCCTTCCTTTTTCCCTCCCACTATATCTGAAGATAAATGTAAAAAAAAAAAAATGTTCACTGCAACATCATTCCTGGTCACCAAAACTGGAAGCAGCCCAAATCAGCAGTGGAACGGTTTTTCAGACAATGCCTTACTAAAGCAAACTGCTGCCACAAAGCACAGAGAGATTTCACAAACATAATGCTAAATGAGAAAAGCCAGACAAAACAAATATACCATGTATGTTTCCATTCAGAGACATTCTAAATCAGGCAAAACGAATCTGGGGTGTTAAAGTCAGGATTGGGGTTACTTCTGGGGTGAAATAAGAGGGAAGTGATTGGGAAGGGACATGAGATTTCTGGGTGGTGCTGGTAATGTTCTGTTTCTTGACTTAGGTGGTGGTTACATGGTTTGTTCAGTTTGGAAAAATGCATCAAGCTGTACAAGTATGATTTATGCACTTTTCTATATGTGTGTGAACATGATTCAATAAAAAGCTGATTTTTAAAAATCTCCCTTGAGGATATGTTTACTGATTTTACAGTGGGGGGACCACAGAGAGAAACACTGATGTGAGAAAGAAACATCGATTGGTTGCCTCTCATATGTGCCCCAACCAGGGACCATATCCACAACCCAAGTATGTACTCTGACTGGGAATTGAACCCATGACCCTTCGGTATACCAGACAACGCTTCAATCAACTGAGCCACACCGGCCAGGGCAAAAAGCTTATTTTAAAAACACACAGCCCTAGCCAAGTAGCTCAGTTGGTTAGACCTCAACCTGATATGCCAAGGTTGCAGGTATGATTCTCGGTCAGGGCACATGTAAGAATCAGCCAATGAATGCATAAATAAGGGGAACAACAAATCGATCTCTCTCTCTCTCTCTCTCTCTCTCTCCCACCGCCTCCTTCCTCTCTCTAAAATCAATAAATTAATATTAAAAACACACACACACAAATGGGCACAAGGGATAGGGTATAAATGAAATGTCTAAAACTGAATTGTGGTGATGATGGCACAAGTCTGTAAAGTTACTGAACATCACTGAATTGTACAATTACAATAGATTAATTTAGTAGTGTATACATTTTACCTCAATAAAACTGTTAAAATATAGACTAATAAAAAATACTGGATCACTAAAATGTAAACTCAATGGAGGCAAGAACTAGAGGGTTACATATGCCTACCTCCTGAAATATAATAGGAGCTCAAAAAAAATTTAATTGGGGGGGAGGTGAAGGGATTGAATCCACCAAAACTTAGTTCTTGCAAGTGTCACTCTTCCTAATCTCCTTGTGGGAAGTTTTAGTGAGTTATAGACTAAAACTAAAGCCCCCCTCCCTCCCCGCAAGGTTTTCTGTATTTTGCTTCTCCAACATCACAGCGGTTAAGAGAGCACAGAGGGTTAAGCCCTGGTTCCATCGCAGGCTGCATGACCCTGAACAAGTTCTTCTTTGTGCTTCAGTTTATCTGTGAAATGAAGATGATGACAATAATACCTACCTCACAGGGGTGTGATGAAGAATAAATGTGTCAAACTTTACATAGTAAGCACTATATAAATGTTTGGAAAATAAAGTAGCTTTTTCTCCTAAAAATAACAAAGTAGACTTCTTTGGGAGGAAGGATGGGCAAGCCTGGTGCGTTACCTGATGAAATGTGTACTTAAACAACAGTGTCAGAAACTCCACCACAGGGAACTGGGAGTAGGACTCGATTCTTCTCAGGTGAACACTCACAAAGAGCCGCAGAAAGTCAGTGAACTTCTCGACGTAGCTAAACAAGACAAGAAGACAAAAGGTGACGATGAGACACACAGCTACCTCCTTAGAAGAAAACTCAAATTCAATCCAAATTTCTTTCAGTAAAGAACTATACAGATTTATATTTTCAGTTAAAAATATAAAGGCCTGCAACAATTACCTACAGGTCAGGCAACCCTTCATTCCATTACCACCTGAAACATAGCAGAAAAGCAACTTTAATCCTCAAATACCATCTATGAATGCATCGCATCGTATAAGCTCTCCTATTTTCTAGCTCGTTAGTGTTATGGCCAAATTAAAGTGAAAGGAAATGGTACTAAAAATTCAATGGGCAGATCATGTGTGTCATTTCAATGTGGCAAGTCTGGAAGGCTGGTTTTCTTTGCTAGGAGGCCAAAATATTAAAACGAATGTGCTAGAAACACAAAAACGAAAAACAAGGCTATACAAAAGGCAGGGAATCCAAGTAAGATATAGTCAAGCCTGCCCTGTGTTTAATTAGCTCTTGATGCTAATTAAACACAGCACACCCCAATCCACTCCAAAGTGATTTCAAAAATAAAGGAAGAAGGCTGTCAGAGCTGGAAAAGCCTCGGGACAATTTAACCTGATGCTTCATTTTACAAAGAAGCTCAGAGAGATTAAGTGATCGGCCCAAGGTCACTCAGCCAGCTCATGGCAGAATGGGACTACCATCCACTCCCAATTCAGTGCTCTCTTTTCACATCACAGTGAATCCCCAATCATCTGTAGTCACAAAATCATTTCACAGAAGAGTGTGGGTCACAGCTGCAAGGATAAGAGACTTTTGTTATTAAACACAGCACATCATCACTCTCACATCTCAGAAACTGTCATTTTAAGCCCCTAAATACCAAAAGGTGATTAGAAAATGAGATGGACATATCTCCATAAATCACATTTCAGAGACCAATAAAAATAAATAAATAAAGACATAAACAGGCCTTAGCCAAAAATTAAATAATGGCTAAAACCAATTCTGAAACTCATACTGCAAAAAACTATTTTTTTAAAGCATAGATATATGAAATAATAAAGGGGAAGAACAAGACTTCAACTCGGAGGAGCAAAATTAGGCCATGAATAAAATGTCCCATATTGTTCTTGGGACCCATTGCCCTGAGGATGGTCCAATGGTCTGACCTCCACACATATGTAAACTTCTTTGAAGCTTTAATAACACTAATTTGTTTGATAAGGATCATGGAGCCAAATACTTGAAAAACAGTAAGGTACTGAAATCAACTGTTTCTAGAGATAGAAAAGTACACAGAGACTTCTCTCTGATGCCTTCAGTCACTAACCCTCAATGAGCAGGAACTCCTCATTCCTCCTGCTTCTTACATTATATTTTTACATAGATTTTCAAAGTCACCAACCTGTTTACTGCTCTTTAGAAAGATGCACTCAATTCCCTACCACCCATAAAAGAATAAAGAGAAGTCATGGGTAAAATATCACACAGTCTCTATTTTATTTTAATCTCCAACCTAATACTTTGAAGAATACAAACAAGGCTGTTCAGCAGCTAAAACTACAAATTTTATTTCACCTCATTTTCTTGCCCTTGCCCACCTTCTGGTACAGGTGCTAATGAGCAGTAGAAAGTTAGAAAAAAGGCAGTAGTGGAGAAGAGAAGCAGAGGGCCTGGTTAAGTAGCACCTAAACAACCGAGAATGGACTTAGCTGTTTAGAATTAGTGGTAGGGGACCCGAGAGCCAGGAAGCAAGCACACAGTATTGATTATGTCACCTTTCTGCTTCCAGGCACCTCTCAGCTTTCACAGGGCAATAGGAAGCATAGAATTAAAATATAAAACCAAGAGCATAAAAGTTACATGTAACAAAATCAGTACGAAGATAATGCATGATGACATTTCTATATACCACCCAAAGGTAAGTCATAATAAACATTATGCTACAAGTAAAAGTCAAAACAACTGATATTTATTTGATGCTTGGTATAAGCAGCTAGGATTTTTTTTAACATATGAAAATATAGCCTTCCTTAACCCAAGCTAGAAAAAATATAAAACTGTGTTTGAATACTGATGCCTTTGAATTTATATACAAAGCTATTATCAAATAATAAAAAACTAAAACATATCACCATACCATTTTATGAGTTTTTCTGTGATACAAAATTTTACACAAAGCTTGCTTACAATGAAGCAAACCGAAATAATCTTATATACCAGTATTTTTTAACTTTAGAAAAACATTATTAAAATCATTCCATTTTAAAAGCACTAAAACCATCTTAACTTTAGGCACTTTATATTGTTATTTATTCTAAGGAAAAAGAAATGGATTAACTCTGTATAGCTTAATAAAAAAATACAAGCTAAGGAAAATTTATTAAAATATTAACTTTGGCTGCCAGGCAATCTATACATATTTACTAATTCAACACAATTTATCTGCTTGAAAGTTTCTGAACAATCAACATGATGTTGTTAACATAAGTTTCAATTTTCTCTCTTGTTTTTACCCCACAGTAGTATCATATTAATGAAAGTTTAGGACAGATAAATGGCATCACCTACAAGAGAATAAATGAGACCATGCCTGAGAGTACTGTGACGGGGTCATCTTTTATGGCACTTAAGAAAGAAAGGCTAGGTAATTCTAGACTCCATTCAAAAGGACAATAACAAACACAGGTGTGTGCCACTTTAGCCTGTACCAACATTAACATCTCTCCTTTCTTTTCATGAAAACTTGGCATCTGTGTGAAACTTACAATATGACAACACTCCTATACACTGGCTGATGTTCACTTGGGAGAAGTCAAATAGTAAAAACTGACAAGCCACACCAAGTGAGAAAGGGTGATGGTAACTCCTGTACCTCCACGGACCTCCTCTCCTGTCCTTGGCTATGCATGAGCGGCAATCTCGGTTCCTGCACCACCTCAGACCTGCAGGCAAAGAGTGAGGAAGAGGGGGAAGACGGGTGGAAGGGAGGACAGGAGATGGATGGGAAAAAGACAATAAACCCTACACAATTCACAAGTACTTTCAAACTCACCTCACTTCCCTTAACCACCCTAGCCCTTCCAGCTAAGCTTAGACTTACTGGTACACACCTACCTTTCTGTTCCTCACCAGGAGCCCCAAGTTCTGAAACCAAAGAGGATTAGAGACACCATGCAGAACACCGTGATAATTAGTCAAGGCCCTTTCTCAGGGCACAGCCGACTTCACACCTGTTTTCATTACCTCTCATCGAGTTCTTCTAGCCTGCTCTTCACCGTGTGGGCATTGTTATCCTTGGTGATTTTCTGCAGGAGGTAGAAAGTCTGCTGGAACATACGCAGTAAATACTCCTCAAATTCCATAGGCACACAGTTCTTGGACATTAGTTCATTGATGCAGGACATGGCCAGGACCCCAAGCCGGCCGCGTTCCTGACCCAACACACAGTTCTGGCTGCTGCCGTTAACTGATGCCATCTTTCTGGCCCGGATGTCACAGCCAAAGCGTGCAAAGTGGAAGATGGTGGTAAGGAGGGACGGGGTGATGCTGGCAGACAGAGGAATCCAACTGAAGAGATGGGCCAGGCACTCCAAGGCCAGAGAACAGATATACTCACTCTCCGCATCAAGGATGGGTATTGGCTGATTTAACAGTTTGGCTGAACTGGGACTCTGCAACAGGTTACTCAGTAAGTCACCTGAAAATACAAATGGCTTTTAAGATCTACACTAACAAACCAATTTAAGTAATTCTCCTTCAAACAAACAAACAAACAACAAAAACAAGCATTACTATAAAGCAGCAGTTCTCAAAGTTTTGTCCAGGGTCCCCAAGACCCTTTAGAGAATTCACAAATTCAAAACTAGTTTAAAATTAATCCTATAATGTTATTTTCCTTTCTCACTTTTATTATCTCACAAGTGTACAACAGAGCTTTCCAGAGGCTACATTACATGTGATACCTGACAGAGAGAAAGCAAAAGCTCTCTTTCATTAAGCCACATGAGAAAGAGATTTGCAAAGATGTAAAATAACATTGCTCTTCCCAGTAAATGTTTTTGTTTGCTTTGAAAACACAGTTATTTCTCATTAAAACATATTATGTTTATATATGAGTTCATCAGCTATTTTTAAATGAATTAATATTTGTAATGTTTTGTTTTAATATCAGTGGATATAACTCACAAAGCTCTCTGAGGACCACAATAATTTTAAGAGTAAAGGAGTCCTGGGTGACGGTGGGCAAAGTGGGTAAAAGAAGTCAAAAGGTACAAGATTCTAGTTATAAGATAAACAAACCCTGGAGATGTCATGTACAGCACGATGATTACAGCTAACAATACTGTAACTGTATATTTAAAAGTTACTAAGAGAGATTTTAAAGTTCTCATCTCACGAAAAAATTTGTAACTAGGTAAGATGATGGACATTAACTTATGGTGCCCATTTCACAATATATACATATATCAAATCATTATGTTGTACACCTAACTAACAGTGTTAGTTAGCCCCAGCTAGTGTGGCCCATCAGTTAGAGTGTCAGCCCTCAGACCAAAGGGTCTCAGGTTCAATTGCTGGTCAACGGCACATACCTGGGTGTAGGTTCCATCCCAGGGCCTGGTCAGGGCGTGTGCAGGAGGCAACCAATCGACGTGTCTCTCTGACATCAATGTTTCTCTCCCCCACTCTTTCTACGCTCCCTAAAAAATCAATGAGAAAGCCCTGGCTGGGTTGGCTCAACGGTTAGAGCGTCGGTCCGCGGACCAGAGAGACCCAGGTTCAGTTCCCGCTAAGGACACATACCTCGGTTGCAATTTGTCCCCAGCCCTGGTTGGGGTTGTGTGGGTGACAACCACTCGATGTGTCTCTCTCACATCGATGTTTCTCTGTCTTCCTCCCTCTCTCCCTCCTGCTCTATCTGAAGATAAATGCAAAAATGTCCTCAGGTGAGGATAAAAAAAAAGTAATGAAGAAGCTGTGGCAAAGGGACTAATGCAACCATTGAATTAAATATGGAATTAAGACTAAACAAACACAGGAATTATATATAGAAGGGTACGCTAACTTTCTCATCTTTCACAAGCAAGAAGTCTCTAAATATATGGTCTAAAATTAAAACGTAGTAAAAAACCGGTTTTCATAATCTTTTTTTCTTTTTTCTTCTTTTTTTTTAATCTTCACCCGAGCCCAGCTGGTGTGGCTCAGTGGTTGAGCGTTGACCCATGCACCAAGAGTCAACGGCTAGGTTCCTGGTCAGGGCACATGCCCCGGGTTATGAGCTTAATCCCCCCTGGGGAAGCGTGCATGTTTCTCTCATTGATGTTTCTATTTCTCTCTCCCTCTCCCTTTCTCTCTGCCTCAAAAATCAATAAAAAAATATTTTTAAAAAATCCTCACCCAAGTATAAGTTCTCATTGACTTTTAGTGGGGGGGAGAGAGAGAGAGAGAGAGAGAGAGAGAGAGAGAGAGAGAGGCAGGTAGACTGGTTGCCCTGACCAGGAATCGAACCCACAACCTTTTGGTGTATGGGATGACACTCCAACCAGCTAAGCCACCAAGCTAATCTTTTTTTTTTTCTTAACCTTAGAGGCATCTTTTACAAACAAATATTCCTTGTGGAAAAAGCACCTCAAGGTCAGCAATTTCTTCCATTTAATACCTCTGTTAAATTCTAACTAAAATTTGCCCTGGCCAGTTTGGCTCAGCGGTTAGAGCGTCGGCCTGCGGTCCGGAGAGACCCGGGTTCAGTTCCCACTAAGGGCACGTACTTCGGTTGCAGTTTGTCCCCAGCCCTGGTTGGTCGTGCGGGTGGCAGCCACTCAATGTGTCCCTTCACGTCGATGTTTCTCTCTCTCTCTCCCTCCCACTCTATCTGTACAAAAAATGGAAAATATCCTCGGGTGAGGATAAAAAAATAAAAAATAAAAAAAATAAAAATTCTAACTAAAATTTAAAGTTTTTATTAAAAATAAAAATATATAATATGATGCCATTTTGTTTTTATTCCATTTTATCTCTCCTATCTATATCTATGTAGAGAGATATACCTGGAATGATATTATCTCTGTATGGTTGAACATGGGTAAATTTTTACATTTTAATTTGTACCTTAATATTAGCAATTCTCAAAATTGCTAATTTTTTCTGTTTTGGTCTCAGAACCCCTAACACTATTAAACAGAATACTGTGGACACCAAAGAGCTTTTGTTATGCAGAGTATTTATATTGTTATCTGTCATCTAGAAATTTAAATTGAAAAGTTTTCACATTTAATTCATTTAATAATAAACCCATTACATGTTAGCATAAATAACATTTTCAGATGAAAAAAACTATAATTTACCCCCCAAAAATTAGCGAGAAGAATAGCACTGTTTTTACATTTTTGGAAATCTCTTTAATGTCTGATTTCAAAGAAAACAGCTGATTCTCTCATCTGCTTCTGCATTCACTCTATTGCAGTATGTTGTTTTCATTACATACATCAAGAAAACCGATGTGCACATAGATATATGACTGAAAAAGAAGTAGTAGCCTTTCCAGATAGCTGGAGCTGTTCTTCAATATAATATTAAAATCTGACAAGCAGTAATTTATTTATTTATTTTTAAGAATAGTTTGTTGAGTCCTGGCCGGTTTGGCTCAGCGGTTAGAGTCAGCCTGTACCTTGGTTGCAGTTTGTCCCGGGCCCTGGTTGGGGTCGTGTGAGTAGTAACCACTCGATGTGAGTTCTCTCTCACATCGATGTTTCTCTCTCTCTCTTCCTCCCTCTCTCCCTCCCGCTCTACCTGAAGATAAATGCAAAAAAGTCCTCTGGTGAGGATATTAAGAAAAAAAGAATAGTTTGTTGAGCCCTGGCCACTGTGGCTCACTGGATAGAGCATCGGCCCTCACACTGAAGGGTGGCGGGTTCAATTTCTGGTTAAGGGCACATACCTGGGTTGCAGGTTCAATCCACAGCCCCAGTAAGGGCATGTGTGGGAGGCAATCAATTGATGTGTCTCTCTCACATGGATGTTTCTCTCTCTCTCTCTCTCTCTCTCTCTCTCTCTCCTCTCCCTCCCTCCCTCCCCCCTTCCACTGTCTCTTAAAAAAAATAAAATCAATGGAAAAAACATCTTCAGGTAAGAACAGAGAAAAATTTTTAAATAAAGTTTTAAAAAAAGAACAGTTTGTTGATTTTTAGAGAGGGAGGAGGAGGGAAAGTGAGGGAGGAAAAACATCAGTGTGAGAGCGCAACATCAAAATTCAATGGGCTGCTTCTTGCATGACTCCTACTGGGAAAGAAACTCACAACCAGGCATGTTCCCTGACCGAATCGAACTGTCAACTCTTCAGTGCATGGGACAACATCCAACCAACTGAACCACTGGGTTAGTTTCTATTGTTAAGAATAGATTAAAAAGTTGTCCCCTGGCATTTTATCTTCAAGTATGGTTCCTGTTCTCAAAGAGCTGCATTTAATACCAGATGACACTCATCATGATCTCAGCTACCCAAGCTGATAATCAGAGAACCTGCTCTCAAAGAATAACACAAGGATGTTCAAGTAGAATCTGCAGACGATTCAGTTGGTTACTGGCTATAAAATTTTGATTTTGGGCCCTGGCCGGTTTGGCTCAGCAGTTCAAGTGTGGGCCCGCAGGCCAGAGTCCCAGGTTCGGTTCCCGCTAAGGGCATGTACCTTGGTTGCAGTTTGTCCCCGGCCCAGGTTGGGGTTGTGCAGGTGTGTCTCTCACATCGATGTTTCTCTCTCTCTTCCTCCCTCTCTCCCTCCCGCTCTATTTGAAGATAAATGCAAAAATGTCCTCGGGTGAGGATAAAAAAAAATTTTTGATTTTTGGAACTGCGGCAGCGACTTTCCACTTAAGTCACACAACTCTCTTCCAGAGACAGTAACTGTTTATGGTATTACTTTGTTCATTATTCATGGACCAATGGCCATATATGAAAGGTGCCAGAGTCAGAGGAAACCACCACCACTACCCAGCTAGACTTCTTGGGGCATAGTATGATCGTTAACCAGGATCAAACTGAGGCTTTAGCAATGGTGGAAGCAACAGACACCATCTCAGTAAGATCTGGACATCATTGGGCCCTTAGGCCTTTTTAAAGTCTCTTGAACATTTTAAAATAAAACTAAAGTCTGACTTTAAAAACAAAAACAAGAAAAGCTGTCCCCACTCTTTAACTCAGAAGAATTTCTAGAATGGGAATGCTGAATGAAAACATCGATGACAACAGTGATGTTCAGAACAGCTACCATTTGATATGCTATTGTTATTTGCTTGGCGCTGCACTAAGCAGTTAATATGCATTCTCTCATTTCATGTTCACAGCTCTGAGGTCAGTACTATTATCTGCATTTACAGACTGTTAGAATAATTAAGACACAGACAGATTAGGCATTTCCGCCACATTCCTTAGCTACTAAGAGGCAAAACTGAAACGGAAACCCCAAGTCTATATTCCTTCCTAGAAGGCAGGTCACCCAGAAAGATTATGCAACCAGGAAAAATTATCATTAAGAAAACTAACATTCAAATACAGAAAAAGATGTATGATCCAAACTCACATGTAAAATAGCATGAGTATACCCTGGCCCGTTTGGCTCAGCAGTTAGAGTGTCAGCCCACAGACCAGAGTCACGGGTTCAATTCCAGCAAAGGGCACGTACCTCAGTTGGGGTTCACCCC